CCTTCTAGATGATCACAACTAGCAATAGCAATATTACATTCACCACGTTTTTCTTTTAATTCTCTTTTGCAAGTTATGTATGTTTCACTTAGTTTATAGCATTCATCTAGTAAGGAATCAATACAAGCAAGCATATTTTCTCTATCATATTCATGCATATCTTCTCTAATTTGCTCTAAGCTTACCTTGCGTTCATGTAGTACATCCTTCTTTGCCATAAAGCATTTGTTGAATGTACTGGTTCCCCCTCTGGTTCCTGGACCAGTGCTGTTTTCCTTGATGTTTGTAAAGGCAGTTAGGCAAACATCTGAGTTGGGTGATCCTTCTTCTTCATCTGACCCTGAGTCAGAGTCTCCCCACATGGAAGCTATCATGGCATTCTTGTATGCTTGTTTATCTCCGGATTTAGACTGTTTGTCATTCCACTTAGGACAATCTCGAATAAGATGTCCTTTTTCTCCACACTTGAAACATCCTGTAGAAGAAGAATTAGAGTTAGATTTTTTATAGTTTTTAAAATGCTTACCTTTGAAATTCTTTCTTTGATCTCGAAGAGATCTCTCAAATCTTTTTGCAATCATGCTAATTTCATCTTCATCATCTTCTACTGTTCCCTTAAGCGCCATGCCTCTTGCTGGTTCCTTCTCAGACTTAGAGTCAATCAGCATCTCATGAGTCATAAGGGAACCAATCAGCTGTTCCAGAGACAAGGTAGACAGATCCTTTGCTTCATATACTGCTGTTACCTTGGCTGTCCATGCATCTGTTAAACTACGCAATAATTTTATCACAAGATCCTCGTCAGATAAATTTTTACCAAGAGATCTAAGATCATTTACAATAGTCATAAACCTACGAAAGCAATCATTGATTTTTTCATTTTTATTCATGGCAAACAATTCATATTTAGACATGATTAAATCAATTTTAGATCGTTTTACCTCACTGGTTCCCTCAAACGCAAGTTCAAGGGTGTCCCATATCTCCTTAGCACTACTGCAGCCAGATATACGATTTGTTTCGGTCTCACCTATTGCTTGTTGTAGTATTGACATTGCCTTAGCATTCTTCTCCAGCAACTTGTAATCAGCAGTGACCAATTCGCTATCTTTCTTGGGAACCTGGTTCCCCTCAACATCTGTCTTGAGAATGATATTTGGACCATTTTTAACTACGAGCCAGCATTCATAATCAATACCCATGATAACATTCTGGATCCTGTTCTTCCACCAAGCATAATTATTTCCATTAAACTTGGGTGACTTGTTGTCATAACCGATTGCACTTAATTCTTGAGTACTCATTCTTAACTCCTCTAGATGTTATTCTTTCGAGAAGCTTAGGCTCTGATACCAATTGAAGGTTCAATGGGCACTCAAGAGGGGGGGGGGGGGTGAATTGAGTGTTAAGTAATCGTTGGCTAATTTTGCTTCTTTTCGAATTATGTGTGAGGAACCAGTTGTGCTGGTTCCCGTACGCAGCGGAATATAAATAAGCAATAAAGAAGACAACAAATTTAACGAGGTTCAGCCAACTCAGGCCTACGTCCTCCTATCCTAAGTTCTTTATTAATCTACTCCGAAAAACAAAGACAAAGAACACTCTGCTGTTTCCCTACTCCGGGAACCAGCAAACCCCACACTCTACTCCGAGTGTGCTCTCGACTTACACTCGTAAGCCCAATGTGTTTGAACTCACAAACACTCACCCAGCCTTTAACCCCTTTGTTAAAGACTCAATACAAGAATCAAGAACTCTCCTTTGATCTCACTTCTACGAAGCTAATTAAGAGAAAAAGTTTAAGTACTAGAATGCTCTTGTATATAACTTGATGAATGGGATTAGTGCTTAAGTATATGCTCTAAAATAATTGCTCTTTTAATTTCTGGAGAGGCACACGAAATATGTGAAATAAGATGAGTTTATATAAGCTTAGATTCCTAAAACCTAGTTTCCTTAAATCACACAATCTTAGAGAATAAGATATATTGTAATTTTAGGAAAGTATTTATCTTATTTGATTTAATCACAAAGATAGAATCAATTAAGATAAATACTCCTAGTTTTTAGGTAACCAAGAATATTTCATCTTATTTCCAGCTGCACAAAATATTTTCAAAATAATCTTTTCGAAAAAATCTTTTTGTAAAATCTTTTTCCAAAACGGCAGCTCGAATATTTCGTACAGTGAACCTGGTTCCCCAACCTGGTTCCCTGAATTGAAACATGTTATGAAACCTGTTCCAACTTTGTACCAGATTTCATATCATACTTCAATATACTTTTAAGCACTTATATAACCCAAACATGCAAGCATACTACGGAGCATATTACATGAAAACCTAGATAAAATATTAAAGCATAAATCGTCTTTTCTTCATGTAATCTTCAAGACTTGAATCTTCCTTGAATACTTCTATTATGAGCAAACAATCTTTCTTCGAAATATCTTCGAAAGGCTTCTATGCTCCAAGTCTTGGAATCAACTCAACTACTGCACATGTAACATGGTTAATGCACAATAGAGAGTATGTGACTGCTTTTCCGCATAGCAGTCAAGGAAACGGTTCATACTGGTTCCCCACCAGTACATAGCACATTTATCATCTAACTGTTTCCTGTATATAGATAAGTTAGTTCAATAGATAACTCATATAATCAATAACTTATCTAGGGAAACAGTGTTCTATTATAGCTGGTTCCAACCAACTGTTTTCAACACTTATTAAAACCTGTTTCCCATAGCTGTTTGTCATCATTCAAAACCATCATTCAAAACCTAAGGGACTCAACAAGGCTAATAAAGAATACTAAGAGTACTAGCGTTACTATACAATGTTGGTGTCAATGACTGTTTATGCATCATAATCATAATTAAGAGGGATCTTTTGTTGTGTTCAACACGGTAGTATACATATAGCACTTCACGTGAGAGATAAATTGAAAATGATGGCCCTCAGATCAGGGTTAACAAATGTGTTGATTACGAGTTATAGTTGGTTAAATTTAAGGTCCTAAGGTAGAGATCATTTGTTGTCTTTAACGTTAGAGGCTAGATGAGTGGTAGGCCAGGTGGTCGTGGAAACATTGATATGTAGTGATTGGAGCGAGGAATGGAGAAAAAGAAAAAAATGATACGAGTAGGATTCTTTTTAATATGTATTAATAAAATAGTAATCGTGTATACCCTAAAGTTCTAGTGATTAAGGGTTTGTTTACATTTACTGAACCGAGCTGAATTAAAGTGAACTGATTGGAGGTTGAACTGAACTGAACTGAGCTGAAATGAATATATTATGAGAGAAGGAAATTAGGAGCTGAATTGAATTGAACTGAGCTGAACTGAATTGGAGCTGAATTGAAATTAAACTGAAGTGAACAGTCACTAAATTTAATTATGAACAGTAGTATATCTTCTACAAGAATTAGATAATGCATGCCTTTTGCTCCATATCATTGTATCAACTTTCCACCGTGAAAAAAAAAAAAAAAAAAAAAAAACTTTCCACCGTGATAAAATTTGAGTCACGGATGACACAATAACCACATATATATATAAAGATTAGTAATTTGGTGAGAAACGTGAAGAGCTTGCTCATCTGCTTGAGGATCCATCCACGGCAAGTTCCACAATATGTGAATATTTATATATAATACAAAGGTGTTAGGTTGTTGCTTTTAATGAAATATCTCTTATCTAACTAATAGAGAAGTTAAACCACAACTATTCAAAACCTCTATTTTCAAAAACTATACACGTACTCACACTAAATTTAAAATTGTCTTTAAAGCTATATACTCCGTATACATTAGCGTGAATACGAATATACGATCTAATGCTTTATCAAATAAAATTTATGAAACCTTAAGAAAAAGGAGACTATTAATTCCGTACGTAATATTAGATTTGGCATACTTTTCCCAATTGTATACTAACGCATTTACTCCATATTATATTACTCAAGCAACGCATGTGGTTCAAGTATAGCATGTATATTTCAATGTTAGTATATTAGTGTACAATACCTCCGCATATAAATGGAACAACAATAAAATACGCGGTTGTATTCTAAGATAACAATTGAATTCATTTATTGTACCAATTTTAATTTTATCCTCACAAATATATGCTAATAAATTTTAGCATGATATGTACTATACTATAGATTGATATGATGAGGACCAAGCAAATCTTTAATCTGGCCGGTGATATGTCTAGGACATACAATATATTGGGAGTACGTATGAAGCATTGACGACGTAATAATTGCAATTGAAGTGTAAGTTGAATAATTTGATGATACTACTTTTGTTCAAGTGGATGAAATCTCACGTAATGTACATTTACATTTATTTATATGCATGCATGCTTGTTAAAGGATCGGAAATAATTGTATTGATTGATGAGTGTGAGGCCATAATTCGTTAACTCCTCAATTTGAAGTAACAATCAACTAACTTAAGAATCTCAACGTGTTAAGAATTGGAAATTTTTGTGTAATTATATTGAAGCTAAGGATCTTGACCCCCAACTACATATCCCAAACACTGCATGCACGCTAATCAATATATTTAGTTATTTCTATTAAATAACATCGCTTTTGACTTTCAAATTGTATTGATTTTAATATTTACTTCATAGATTTGGTGGTAACGTTTTTCACATATAATAATGCATAAGTTAAACCATTGATATCATTAAATTATCGATAAGTTTTTTTACAAAATTTATTTTTATACTTTTCAAGACTACTTTGATTATAATCTCTCTCACAATGTATTGAAAGACATTGTGTAAGTACTTGTGTAATAATAGCTTGAACTTGAAGAGTGAAAATCTTTAATGAATAAAAAGGAAGGGAGCATCAATCATGAGGTGATTTGTGTAAAATGAAGAAAAAGAATGATGACAATGAAAATCATTCACCAAATAATCACTTTTTGCACAAAGGAAAGTTGTATTGGAGAATTAAGGATCATTCAATATTGGAAACTTGATATGATTGAACAAACATTCCACTTTATTTGTTTCAAGGACATCACTAGGACAATGAAAAAGCTTAAACTTCTCAACAATACTCAAGGCTAAAGATTATGAACTTTCATAGCGAATAAGGATATCAAATTAAAAAACGCTTCACATTTTTTGTAGCCTAAATAATACATACTATTGATAAGTTATGCTATTTGAGCTCTTCATTTCACCTAATTTAAAGTATCTTTGTCTGACAATTGGGCACGTAGATACCAATTATCCTAACAAAACAATTTTATTGATACACGTTTGGCTGAATGGTTTGTGTGGTGCCTCCAGTAATTGTATACTCCAAATGAGTTACAAATTCATAATTAGTTTTAGATTTCAGAAAATATAAATTTCGGAATAATTTTTTTAGCCTTGACATTATTTACTCAGGTTTATTAGAGAAAATAATCTGTTAAACTAATGTCAAGGCTAAACAAGGCTCAGACCATTGCATACTTCTGAGTCCAGCTATGAGCCATGGTTTCGTATGCAGTTCGATCAGTCTTGTACAAGTGAGCAAACTCTGGAACCAATGGATCATCTGGATTTGGATCCGTCAGCAGAGAACATATTGACAGCAGAACCTACACAACAATTGCCAACAATATTTATGGCTAATTCTTACAAAAAAAAAAAAAAACAGAACAAAAATACAAACTATATTACAAATCAAAGAAATAAGAGGTGTAAGTAAATGAGTTCAGATGAAATAGTAGTCAAGTACCTAAATCTAATACAAACAATATCAAATCAATACCCTTTCTTTATGGTCGTCTGTTTATTGAAAACATAGGGTCAAACCAAAGCTTAATCCACACATTTCACTAAACATTATGGTTTGTCTTAATTATAACTACTATGGACTATTGACTGTCAGCTGTGAAATTTTCTTCATGGAGGCGTATGTACCAAGCATGGTTAAAAAGATTGAAGTTGTTACAAGAACATGCTTATTTGATGAACCTGAAGTAGGTGAAAGATTAAGTCAGCGGTTACAGAATCATGTAAGAAGTTTTACTGGTGTAATGAAATTATTTGTTTGTTGTAAAAGCAGATTTGCATTATTTTTTTCCCTATATTAATGGGTCTGTAAGAGTGTAAGGGGTTAGAGAAACTATCATAACATCCAAAGAATGAATGAAAAACAGAGAAGAAAGGAGCATGGTACTGAAATCTTGGAAAGAGCAGCTTTGAAAGCTAGTAGAATAAGTGCATCAGAAATTTTAGAATTGCACAAATATGACAAGGCTTGTTTTGAACCTATGTTACTCAGACTATTTCACTTCAAGTACCCGTGTCAAATTCTCAACGCTAAAGAGTAAATATTAATGGGTATATGTTATATTTCATGCATATGTATTTTGTCAGAAAAAAAATAACAGGGACGATAACCTTGGATATGGTGAGTGCAGGGCTCCATTGCTCCTTTAGTATATCAAGGCAAATACTCCCATTGCTATTAATATTTGGATGGAATACCTTCGTCTTAAAGGCTACCTGCAGATATATTTTATAACATTAAGCTCGTGGTAACAATAACTATTATTGTACATCAGAAATGAAATTTAATACCCTGTACTTAAATTCGAGAAATATGTAATGAAATAGTAATATACTTCGTATATGAATTATGAAATGAAATAATAAAATACTCGTATATATATGAATTACCTTAGGAGGCTTGAAGGGATAATCGGGTGGAAAATGGATGTTCACGAGGAAAACACCTCCTGCATAAGGACTCTCGTTTGGACCATAAATTGTTGCTTGCCAATGGAACATATCTTGTGCAATTGGACCTATATTTGTCACCAACTAATTAGATTAAAACGACGAAAATAAACCCGAAAAAGATTAATGAATTAGAATTTCATATGTCATATTTTTGATTACCTGCACTGCAAGAACTAGGTGGATCTCTTTCCAGTTCCTTGAGCTCCTTTACAATTCTTCTAGATGCCATTTCGAGTTTTCTAACACAAAAAACTGCAAAATAATAATAATTCAAGACTCTAATAATAATAATAATAATAATAATAATTCAATGCATTTGAAGTTTATAAGAGAAATGTGGTAATGGAGATGATGTAAGGAAAAGTGTCACAGCTTCTGTTTACACAACTGAAAGTGGGCATAGAACAAATTCCAGAAAAAGAAAGGAACAAGGAAAGAATCCAACTAGCAAAACTTTATAGCACACCTTCTAAATTGGCACTAATAAAGTATAAAGAGGTGCGAACAAGCTGTTGATTACTTGATTTACATGTTCGGCAAAACTAACTTTTGTAGCATTTGTTAGCTGTAACAGTGGTTGTTAATGGTAACAATTGTTGATTATTGTACGTGTTTAGCATAACTAGCTATTGAAATAGAATCATGATTTTATTTAAAAAGAATAAAGGCTATCTTGCTTAAGCTAAATACACTCATAATTTTTAAACACGGTTCTAAAATAGTTCTCATACCTGAATAATAATATCTAACAAATTGAAATTGAATTTCGAAATGTCATTTAGTTATAAAACAATAACCTTGAGAGGTAAAAAATACAGTTGGAGAATAGAGCATACTTTTAATACAGTGTTCACCACATCATGAATAAAGAAGTATGGCTGTTCTAAGTATTTTTAGCCAAGCATTTCTCTAGGAATCTTGGACTAATTACTGGACATGGACTACGGAAGTGAAGCATCAGATCTCCTTGCATAACCAATTCAAAAGAGAAAATCCCATCAACTCGATGAATCTTTTCTTTTTATCATTGGTCCTAACAGAGGTTTCATCTGCAACTTTGCCAGTGGAATACGGGCTAGACAGTCCCTATCCAGAATCATCGGGGATAAGAGTAACTTCGCCAGTGAATTACAGAACGAACACCCTCCAGAAGAACACATTAGCCAAGCCAAGTTGCTCGGAATCTTCATTTCACCTCATAAGACTAGTACAGATACACTGACCACATCATTTTAGACCAAAATCATGAATATCTTAGTCTGCAATGCAAAAGGAATTCAACAAGACAAGCAAATATAAGCAATGTAAGTCAGAAATCAATCATGAGAATTTGAATCTTAACACTTGGACAAAAACTCACATTGGACACATGTACCCGAGTTTTAGTAACATTGCACATAAGCATGCAAGCAACCAAACCAGAGGGGCTAAGATTTCTTAAATGTTTCCAAGTTACAATTGAACATATAATACAACCAAATGCAATATTGTATGTATAAGCCTCTTAAAGCTTAGTTTACACACTTCTATTACTACATCCTCATAAAACACACAAATTTTACACAGAACTCTTGTCTCTCTGGTTTAGAAACATAGAGTGAATAATGATATACATATTACAACAAATTTGATTAACGAATCCACCACCTGATACTGCTAATAAGAGCGAGAGCCCCTCAGTTCTGTCAGTCAAACTATTAGCATCTAAAGAACATCCCACTACTCTAATATGATGATAGATGAGTAGGAAAATGTAACAGAAACTGGTAAGTGGACTTCTTAAGCCAATATCTCCTTGTTATAATATTGAACAGCCTTTCTGAGACTTTCGCTTCTTTCTCTTCTTCTGCTTTGGTGGCTGGAGGACAACTTTGATTGCAGCATCAAACACAGCCTTTATGTTCTGCAATCAAAAACCAGTCGCAAGACATGTCAATAAAAGGTTCAGAACACTTCAATACGCAAGATTATGAAAGCATGAAACAATACCTGCTGTGTTTTTGCACTACACTCAATATAAGCGGCTGCTCCAATCTGCTTTTTCAGATCTTCTCCCTTAAAAAATTTATTGAAACATGGACATCCTTGTTAAAAAAAGATCAGACAACCGGCAACTAAGAGATTTGATACAGCGTAGACATCATCTATTTACCTGAGCTGTTGTGATCGGCACTGCACCAGGATGGTCTAGAAAAAATTGCTTATCATCTCGAAGATCTGGGAAAATAAAGAAACAGAGAAAAAACCCAAGTTAGGATGCATTAGAAGTGGACCAAATCAAAAAAGGCCCACAGATAGATGAAGTGAATTCTGAAATCTTCCCCCTTCATGTAACCTTACTGGCAAGATGTTTTAGCCTATACGGGGGTACACGCATGTGTCAAGTGTCATTCATGACCATCTCTGGCAGCATATTGAGTTGAAAAATACTAGTATGGCACTATTATGATTTCTAAAACTAAATTTGTTCTCTTTGGAGATTGACTTGTCCTTGCTACAATACACTCTCATGTGTGATTGGTGTGTGCCTGGTATCATTCCTGTAGGGTGGTAGCTTATTATTTGTTCCACCAGGATATTAAGTTAAATTTAAATTGCTATACTGAATTCAAAATTAGCTCTGCCCTTGCCACAATACACTTTCTCAAAAGGTTAGCTTCAATCACATCCAAAAGTGACATCAAATCTCTTTCCCTACCCCACAAACAAACAAACAAAAAAAAAAAAAAAAAAAAAAAAATCTCAAACCCTAAAACAACAAGTTCCTTACTTTGTTACACTCCAATAATCACTCAGCTTTAGAATTGACATCTCTTGATTCCATGTTAAACAGAGCAGTATATGGTGGGATCATCCCAGCTTCCCCATTATGAATTATGAAGAGGGAAAAGACCACATAATGACATTAGTCAACTATTCAGTGGAATCAAATATTGATCCTCCTGGGCCCTGGCAAAGTTGCGTCACAAAACTCAAGTTTTCCAGGGATGGTACGTAAGACATTAAACCACAAAGCTTATATTTCCTCTTTGCTCCAAATCACTTCAAAATTTGCACAGCTGTACATAGCAAAATATGAAATTGAGCTCCAAGTTCCCCCTTCCTATAAATTTTCCATTAGATAAATTTTCATCATTATACATTTTAAGCTATCGTTACAAGTTTCCAAGGCAGTATTCGACCTTTTTGCTTGATGCAATAGCAATGACATTCTCACTATTTCCTTAATTTTTCATTTGCTCTACAAAAAACCACATTTTCACGCATAAAACTTAAGAAGTAATCCGAATTTTCTAATAAAGATCAGTGACCAATTAGCTAGCAAAGCAACTCAGAAAACAGAAAGAAGTATTGTTAACTTTCTATTCACTTTGATCAAAGATGATAAACAATCACCAGTTCATCACAACCGAAGCAATTAGGCTTTGTAGATCATATCATGTTCATAGGAAAGGTGTCTAGGTGAGAAGGACTGCCTCAAAGGTCAAAGCAACTCATAGGTCCATATAGCTTCCAGCTGTTCACATTAATCCTCAGTTTGTTTTCTCTGAGTTGATGCCATCAAAGGTCATCACTCTAATCTCTAAGTATGAGGAATGAAAATACATGCAAACACTAAACAAATCACATGTGCCAACATGATCCGCAATATGGGGAAAGACTAGTGACTTAGCCTAAGGGGAAGGGTAGTCTAATTAAGTAAGCTAGCACCTTAGCAGTAGCTTGAGAAACAAGAGGAGGGCAGTGAGTTAGTCTACATATAGAGGAGTTCAGGAAAACAGAAAGCATGTTGAATATTGATGATAATTTTGTGTTGGTTGAATAGTGATGCTTTCCTTCAGAATTTTTACTGCCACTCTGCAAGAAGCCATTGGGGGTTCTCATAGGCAATGTTTACAATCTTCAAAATAGGAGACCACTTGTGAAGAAGACATTCCTAAAGGTGTACAAAACCAATACCCCCCCCCCCCATAATCTATTTCCTTTTCTGAGATAAATGTCATAAATCAACCTCACACAGGTATCATATACTGCCTCAATGGCCTTTAGATGATGGGTGGGAGGTTCTACTATAAAGGCCTCAAAGTATAACTACAAGCACGAATTATCTCCATAAGGCATAAGCTATTAAGAGTAGTGTCAAAATAACCAATATGGATACAGAGCAATCCAAGGGGTCTACAGTAGCCCAGGAAAACTCCATCTGGTCCCCCCACCCCCTAGTTTGAGCAGAAACTTAGCATTGAAAATGAAAATGATCCCTTAATTTTTACTCTTATGTTTGGTTGCTAATGCTAGAGGAAAAACGATGGGAGAAACCTAAATTTTTGGATCAAACCATTGCTTACAACAGTTAAGAGGGTGCTTGGAAATCAAGCGGAATTCATAACTTCTATCAAGACTTTCATATTTCCCTCCTTTCCCTACAATAAACTTATATTGAGGATCACAAATTTTTTTGGAATGTTTACCTATCCCCATACAGTCCACAAAAGACTTTCCTCTTAACTCTTTCAAGTTCAACTACAACTTGTTCTTCCCATTGTTTTATAATTTCATATAGCTTTGTTTAGGAAAAATTCAATACTTTAACAATCATTATTTGAGTTTCCAGACCCCAACCACCTACTTAAATAGAGGATATAGTTGGACATATTAAGCAATCTTCATTGACAGATACAAAACTGTTCTTTTGCGATACTCAACAAAAATAATTGTCAACTCATTTATATAACAATGGTCCAATAGCAAGCTAATCCCCCCCCCCAAATTCAAATTAAAGTGATACTGGACAAGAAATATGACCATGTGTCATTGTTGTAGAGTAAAAACAAAGAAAAGAAGCACAAGATAGAGAAACAGGCAATACAAGATATATTATAATCTGCGGACAAGTTATAGCATTATACCTAGCTTTGTTCCAACAAGAATAATTGGCACACCGGGAGCATAATGCCTCAATTCAGGAATCCACTGAAATTTATTAGACAAAGGAGACAAACATCAAGAGGATGCACTCTGAACTCTGGAGATTATCTTACAAATACTATTAATAAGATATCTTACTTTCTTCGAAACGTTTTCATAACTGGCTTTGCTGATAAGAGAAAATGCAAGAAGGAATACATCTGCCCCTCTATAGCTCAATGGTCTCAGTCTATTGTAATCTTCCTGACCTGTGATAAAATAAACCAAAGATCAGAACATATTCACCAAACATTCCATCAAAATGGAGAGATAGCACACCGCAGACATACCAGCAGTATCCCACAACCCTAGATTTACTGTGCTCCCATCTACTACCACATTGGCGCTGAAATTGTCAAACACTGTTGGTACATAATCCTGATCAAGTGAGGAAGGAGACAAATATTAAAAACATCTTTTCATAGCATTCATGGAACAAAGAAGACTGTCTACTCGACGCATGGAAACATTATACTGTAAATCCAACAGGAAAAAAAAAAAAAAGGTTTTTGAAAATTTGGCAACTGGCTTCATCTGTACAGAACAGAGGATATACAAACACAATCTAAGTGCATATGCTTCCTTGAGAAGAATAAGCAGTATCCCAGATAGACAATTAAGAAGAGCAAGATCAACCTCCAATCCACCCCACTCCACACCCAGGTAAAAAAACCAAAAATTAAAAGAGTTACTGCAACTATTCTGTCTATACTAGTAAGTTGTAACATCCAAACAACAAGACTACGTTGTACCATGCAAGTGTAATATGCGAATTAGATAATTTAACTAGTTCAACTCTTTCAAAATTTCCAGAGACTTGGTGGTTGCAGTTTGGTGCTCAGCTTTTGCTCAAAGGGACGCCACATTCATAAAGAGACTCCCTTTAGTTTAATTAAGACAGCGAGTTTCCAAGCAGCTACTTCACAAATGCCCTTCACAAAAGACCACAAGGGCCAAGTTGAAGCCTACTTGACAATTGTTCCACTTCAGAATTCAGATTATCTGGCTCTTAAGTTTTTATGTAACAAATGACATGATACATAAAAGCAATAGATAGCTCGAGTGTACTAATACCAAGCATTGTGCACCTAAATAATTTTTGTCACCTAAACTTTGTCAATTGACTATCTTTAACATCGTGCAAAATATTATCTAGCAATCAACGACCAAACTCCAACGAACCAAATCTCAATTATATCCCTATATCTCCAATGAGAAATCATAACCACAACTATTCTAACATGGTAGGCAAAATATTAGAGCAACTTACGGGTAATAAGGGCTAAACAATAAAGACTTAGGGTTTCGAACAAATTCAGGAACGAAAAAAAGCTACCATTTTCACTACTAAGATTAACCACCTACTGACCTACTACATTGTCATTCCTCATACAACAAGTAACCGATCTTCGAAACTAAGGCCTTTTCCTCAAGAAGATCAATGCACAACCCAGATGACAAAGAATCCCATAACAATCAAACTACCACAAGGGTGATTCAACTAGCTTAACAGCTAAAATTAACACTGTCTTAATCTGATCATAGTTTTAGTGAAAATATATAAATTTAATTGCAATGAACAAGCATCTCAGCAAAATTGCGATGAAAATAAAAATTAATTAATAATAATTGAAAAAAAAAATCATAAAAACCCATGAAAGAAAAACACAGAAAATTGAAACCCATGAAACTCAAAATACAAATTTAAGGAAATTCAAAAAAATAAGTGAAATAAAAAAATAAATTAAATAAAACAATTAAATAAAAGAGAGAAAACTTACAGTGGGGAAAGTGTTGCTGGTGTAAGAAATGAGCATACAAGTTTTTCCGACGGCTCCGTCGCCGACGGTGACACACTTTATGAACCTAGAAGCACTCATCCAATTACCGGCGCCGGAAAACTCAAAAACGGCGTCGTAAAACTCCTTTAGTTGCTGCTGTTAATTTCAAATGCTTTTGAAATTGAAGGGTACTTTGCTTTAGTTTATCATCAAATCTAGACGCATTTTTTTTTTTTTACAAAAAAAATTAAAGCTTGAAAAATGGTCAAAAGCGACGAAGAAAAAGTGTCAATGAAGTAGAAGCAGCAGTTAACATTTGAAGAGAGAGAAAGAGAAAGATAGAGAGAGAAAGAGTTTACCTTTGGAATTTGGAGTTTTGAGGGATTATGAGAGTATTGAAGAAGAAGACAGATATTCACAACTTAAATTTATTTATTTATTAAATTAATTTTGTACAACAAGAACAAAAAAAATTAAATAAAGTTGGCTTCTTTAATTTGCTTTTTGTATGTGAGGTCTTCAAATATTGGACCCAACCCAACTCACCCACCAATAAGCTACCCACTCCAATTATATAACACACTTGAACCAACCCATTTCTAGATTTTGAATTTGAATTTTTGATTTCATATCTATTAAAGTTGAAGGATTTGGTTTTCTTTTCAAATACTTTGGAGGGATGGGGATCTTTAATTCTTGGACATATATGGATAGATGCATATGTGATATGATTTTGATTTTTTTTTTACCTAGAATTAATGTATATTGGTTGACATGTATAGTTTTAATACTTTGCTGATGTAATACTTATAACTAATATAATAAAGTAGTGAGCTTAAATTTTATGTAAATCGGTAAGAGAGTTATATGTCAATGTCCATGCCTAGTTCATCTCTTAATTATCAATTTTTTTTCCTTCGAGAATTTAGATTACCACTTGAGTTTTGAGGAGTGGTATTGAGTGTAAATAGACATTTATGAAGAAAATACAAGTTTGTGAATGAGATTGCATTATCAATGCTATGGACCAAATCATTGCACTTACAACAATAGGTTAGCATTAAATATATTCTTAGAAGAGTATTGAGATAAAAAAAATTTATGACAATAATATGTATTTGTCAATGCTATTAAATGTTACTCTATACTTCATTAAACTTCTTGCTCATACCTAGTGATTTTGTCTAGCATCATCTAATGCTAGAATGCCTAGAAAAGACATTTGAGTGCAAAATTATGAAACTAGTAACTTCATATAAAATAATACCTAATGCTTTAAAGTCAACCTAACACACATTATGTATAACGTAGTTTAAAGACTACAAGTAGACTTTAATGTTAAGGTTAGATGGAAAGTAACAACTAACATGAATAAATAATGAAGCATATTATGGAGTATTAATCAAGAAATATTACATTCATTACTTAACAATTTAACAGAGAGTAAAATACTACCACTGAGATTATAGATATGTGGCGTTAGTTCATCATATTATATGCCTTATTTATGAAGCGAAGATCGAATTTCGATTTGCAAAAGTATGAGGAATCTTGACTTTTAAGAACTCTAACCAAGCTTATTATAGTATTAGACTATTAGTCATATGTACTGTATGAATATAGGTTAAATTTAGGTATCATTTAAATTGCAACACAACAAATTTGCATAATTAAACTAATTAGGTCAGCGACATCATAACTTCATTTGTCATATTAGATTAATATTTTCTAGGTTATGTTGTCACTCCCTAGTAGAGAAGCATGTAAGGGAAATAATAGTAATTCATTTATACATTTAACTTTAATGATTAAAACCTACTCGTACAAATTGATGATGAAATATACAAAAATAAGGTTATAACAAATTAACAACAAAACAAATGTAATTTTTAGATAATATTGCTATTCGGTACAATATTTAGAATAGTACTATATCAAAATGACAAAAATTAATAGTCAAAGTTGAAAAATATCACAGTAATCATTTTGACTTACAAAATGAGTAATTCGTACAGAACATAATTTTAAGACATGGATGGATGAATATTATGTAGTGTAAAAATGACAAGTAGTTTGGCACTATTCAAATTTAGAAATATTGATTGGAAAATAATCATTTTTGAGATTATGTAGTAAAAATGACAAAAGGAGATAACAAAGAGAAAGGGGGGGGGGGGTGGTGAAAGTTTTGTCATGCAACAAGAAACAATATGGTTAGGGGTTGTCTTCCCTTCTTTCCACCTCTTGCTGTGAAAACATGAAATGAAGCTTACTCTTTTGCTTAACATCTTTTCAAAGTTTCATTCATCTTCAAGACTTCATACACAAAAACACAATGCACACTTCAGAATAATTTACTACTGAAATTAGTACCCCAACTGTGGCACATACAATCATCCTTTTGAAATTTCAAAATTTTTATCTCAAAAAGTTCCTTCAGAAGTTCAGTTTTTTTTACATAGATTACTTCTTTCAGGTGTCAATCTTAGACTATGATGCCAAGAATGAATTCTGCTTCCACTTCATTGACTAATGAGTATATTAGGTCAACCATAACTGGGGTACGTAGTGCTACTCTGTCTTTGCTACTACTTACAGTACAAAACAATCGTCCTCTGAACTGACATATTCTAATTCAATCATCTTATTTGTGGTCTCCTTGAGCTTCTGAGATGAGATCTTCCTTGGCTCCGGTCTCACTCTTTTTGAATCTGGTAGTGAATTTTTTTGCGCGACAGATGAGCCTGAAATTGATGTGGGCAGTGACCTGAAAAGTGAGCAAATCCCTTAGATCCATGTACGAAAAGAGGCAAGAGCTGGCAGAAAACTGTACAAAGCTTAATTAGTTAGATGGTTCCTTCTGTACCTTTTCATTGAGCCAACCTTCACTTGGTTTTTCTGAGCATTTTCACTTTTTGCTGTTTTTGCACTCATACTGACTGCAAGTGCAAGGAAAAGATGAAGCAAATTAGAGAAACTGTAAGCATGTAGACTTCCAAGTACGAGAGAATTGAGGAAGATCACAAAACCTGTAATTTCATTGAGAAATCGTATCCCTTGGGAGTGCGAATTTGTCGTCACGTGACCTGCATTGCTGTTCAATTAAAGAGAAATAAGTTCTTTGCATATTTTGGTGTTACTAAACTGCAATAACCCTTTAAGCAATATAGTTGCTTAAGGATTTTTAATTGTCAAATTTTTTCCCTCTATGTGCAGCAAGGGAAAAAAATCAAGTGTTTAAAATCCCCCCTATGATTGTCATATGCGATGAGGCAGAGTGAATTGAGTACAAAAAATGATTATTACAGTGAACATTTATAGTCTTATGATGCAAAAGAATATATAAGAGACAGATGCAATTTGGCCAACTTTTAATACCTCAAGGCTTTCTTTAATCCATCAACAGACAACACCTTTGAAGATTTAGACTTTTTTCTATTCGCTTTGTCTGCCATTGGATCAAACATATAAACTCCTTCTGGTTGACGTGGATTCCTGAAAGCCGTTCTTAGATTCCTAAAAGAAAAAACTTATTAGTGCTGAATATAAGCAAGGAAATAGTGCTCATACCATTAGGCATTCCCAATCCCTTCAGTAGCAAAAAATAAAAGGGTTTCAGAGACGCACAAAGAAGGTAGCTGAGCCAGATTCATCAGTCAAACAATATATGGAGTAATTTAATTTGGGCAAGCAAGTTAGTTTCCTTATATTGAAGATGGATAGCTGCTATCTCTTATACACAGAATTGTGACCATAAGTCAGATGAAAGAAGTAAAGCGCAAATTTGAAAATGTTACAGGAGATTCATCTTCTCAAATGAAGAGAGAACTCAGCTCTAGTTAGTTTGTTAAACGGGAAAACTCCTCATATGGCAAGGAAAGTTATGCAAGAACTCAGCTTACCCTCCTTTGAGCTCACCACGTTGAACAGTATATTTCTCTGATGTTTTCTGCATGAAGAGTTCCATAAAATCAATTAAGAATTACTCAATTCTGTAGATTAATGTAAAAAAATTCAGTCCATATTTACAGCTCAAACTTACCACTCTATGGAAGCTGCAGTATATTCCAAGGCGTCTGAAATCACAGAAGAAGAAATTGATGTTCACACTTTGTATGCTAATTAACAGTATCAAATTCAATAGCAAATCAAAGTGACTTAACCCACTGTTTGGTAAAGAACATTTAGCAAAACAGGTAAAGAGTGAAGCTCAAAAGGTTTACGAGTTTTATATGCAAAAGAAGGCAACCACATAACATACAATTTAAAAACTGAACTTCTTCCTTATCATGAGTAATGCCATACTGACAATTTTAAAATCTAAGCTCCATAACGGTGATTGGAGATAAGTGCAGGGCCTTGTATACTCATTTAGATAGCATGAAGCAAGAGGCTCCTACAACCCTTATGTTTTAAAAGCCCGATTACAAGAGAATTCATTTCATAGACCAATCATCTGTTTACCCTATAAGGTTAGTGTATAAATCATGCATATAGTGAAACTAAGGAGCAACATAAGCTAATAAATTCTCTAGGTGGAACCATAAACAGAGAAGACAATATAAATTAAGGCTGAAGCAGGTCATTCATATACGCATAACAAAACAGCTAAGAAACAACATCCTTGGTCATTGCTGTCACGGAGGAGAGGCAACATACTTGTTTACTACAATTGAACAACGCACACCATCTTTCCTCCGTCCTTTGCAAACTCCATAATCAATAGAAGTACCAATCTTCAAGATTTGATTTGTATTAAAAACACTCAATTGGAAACCCGGACCCTGCAAACACAAAAATTCAAACAAACTCATAAACTAATAAACTTAACAATGATAGAAGCTATCCATTTGCAAATGACAGTTTCATACAGAAGAATCTTTGCGAACACCGGCATTGAAGAAGGCAAAAACTGTTGAAGCTGTCTCTTTGCTGTGTTGCTTGTAAGCATCACCAAACAAGAAAACAGTTACAAGCTGCCCATCCAAACACCCAATCTTCCATATGCTATAGCTCTTCCCAGTAGAGCTGGTCTTCGGACTTCCCTTTTCGGTTAAAACACCAACAGTTGCCCAACTACCTGATAGAGTGTCCCCTTTAATCACATTCCTATTAACACCAACACATCAACATCCAAAGTTAGCAGCTTCTTCAGACACAATGATGCCTAATACTCAATCATTCTCTAGTTAAAGGGATTACTTTATGGTAGACAATCGGACAAATCGAATATCCGAAAACTGGTTGCTCAGCTCTGCTGACGAAATCACTTGATTCCTGTATCAACCCTCACAAAAAAAGGGTCAATTTTTTTCCCTAAAATTGTTCATAATTAATCCAAATGACCAGAAATCATCAAAATACTAGTTGGGGGCATCCAAGAATAAGCATACCGGATTCGAAGACCAGAAAATTTTTCAACATCAAGATCAGTTGGCTTCTTTGATTGATTTGATTTGAAAGCCTTCGTGGCAGTTTCAACATCATAATCCATACAATCCTCAACAGCAGTCTTGAAGGCAGACAAGTCCACATTTCCACTTGGCCGTCGCACTTCATCGTCTGATTGATACCCTGCAAAATTACACTCATTTAAGCGATGCTCATATAAATATTAATTGAATGAAAAATAAAAACCCTAAAATCAGAATGCCTGCCAAGTGTTTGTGTAAATGAAAAATTGAAGCAGAACATGTGCAAATCTCAAATACCCATAAATAAAGGAAGAAAAATTATAATTTGGTTGAAGAAAACAGTGATATAATCGAATTTAACAGAAATTGATTGAAAGAAAGATTGATTACCAAGGGATCTGGGGTGGGAAGAAGACGGAGAAGAAGGAGGGGTTTCAATAACACGATCTTGAAGAGAGAGAAGGAGATCGAGGTCATCTTGATTCTCAGTTGACATCGTTGCTGCTTCTTCTTAAGAAATTCTTAAACGATTTCCCGAAAAAAATTGAAACTTTAGATAGTTGCTGGTTTTAATGGTGATAATTTTGCAGAAATTGGAGGGAGAATTCATGTTCGGCGGGATTTTTGAAAACGATGAAAAAATTAGGGCACTTTGACTAATGACTATACTAATACTAGATTACTAGTAATGTGCAACTGTGCAACACCAACGGTCCCATTGACCCCATAATAAATCACAAGCGCATAAGTCATAACAAGCTAAGGCTCAAGTAAAGACGTTAAAAAACTAATACAAGTATACAACCGACTCAAATTCAATCTATTTGAAAATACCCTATTCAAATTTAGACTCACATAAACACAATAATTTAACATGACTCAACTTTTAAATACACGCAACCTAACCTGATCAACCTTACTAAACCCGACCCGAGTACCTGATTTATAGAGACTTACAAGGCTACATTGTCAAGCACACTTCCACCAACATTTGAAGTTAGTTATGGAGTGATAGATTACTCTAAATAGCATGGATGAGCCATAATATGAATCACTTCATTAGCCTCTCTTAATACATGAGAAAATATACTTATAATTTTGTTTCATTTTTGTTAAGAATTTTGTAACAAATTAGCTACGGAGTAGTACTCTGTTAGTTTAAATTACTAGTTTCGTGCTCAATTTTACCTTTTCATGGTTTATTACTTAATCATTCACATAATTACTCACATAGTCACATTACATAGAACCATGACTCTAAGTAGCCAAATAAAACAACTTATTTAAGATTGCGGGTCTATTCTCTTCAGTTTAATTCCAGTTCAGTTCAGTTCCTAATTCTCTTCTCTCATAAACAATTCATTTAACCTTTATTCAATTCAACTTAATTTAGTAAAAAAGAACAGGCCCTAAGAGAATATAATTTTATGCAACTTTTACCTAGTAATTCATCACAAGTTCATAAAGAAGTAGAAGGGCTAAGAAAGTAGGTTGACATATTTGTAAATGTTGGACCAACAATAGATGCAACAAGATTTTTGTTTATTAACCCGTGAAGTTCTTATGGTATATGTTGTTCTTGTAAATTATTCATCCATAGATGCTTCCATACCAATTCAATGGTCAAAATTACCGTTCATCCTTGTAATACTAATTTTAGGGTGCATTATAATGAATTACATCCTTGTTTAACATTTACCAACCAATAAATTAAGGAAAGTAAAACTATATTTTCAAAATACAGCACTAAACCATCTATTTTCTCCCTTAATTTTCTCGTCAGAAAACACCAATACGAGCTTCGTTACGTTGTACATGATCAAATATTTTTTCTCCTCTTCCTAGCAAATAAGGGAGAGTAAGATTTCTATTATTCATCTTTCCCTTGTTCGTAGGAAGAACAGAAAAATTAGTGTTTAGGAAAATCATGGCAAAATGTAGTAAATACATGGTTATGTACATGCTAGCCGTTCTCTTCTTGTTTGTCACCGTAAGTTGTGATGAAGAGAATGTTGAAGATGATGTACCGAAACCAGGAACGCCTTCTAGCATTACCTTTGATGGGCGATCCTTGTTTATCAATGGAAAACGGGAGCTCATCTTCTCCGGATCAATCCATTACCCTCGTGTTCCTGTCGCGGTATGTATGAGACTTTTGTACTCTTTTTCATAACTAGGTCAATTTAATTAGCAAATATTTCCTTAATTATACTACCTCCATTACAGGTTATGTGCAACGATTTGACATAAAGCAGAGAGGGAAAAAGTTTAATCGTTGCACATAACCTGTAACGAAGATAGTATAATGCGTACTAATTAATGGCAATGTCACATTTTGGGGTTTAATGTAGTTGTGGGATAGCGTCCTTGACAAAGGTAAAGAGGGTGGCCTAAATGCAATCCAAACTTACGTCTTTTGGAACATTCACGAGCCAATTAAAGGACAGGTAACTCACTAACGTCATACGAAGTATGTCTTTTGACAATACAGTCATTACATTTGCACCCCAAATCACACATACTTAATATAATTCCATGCACCTTAGCTTTATACAACGAAGGTCATAATGTTTTCATTACAATGCACGACATGCTCATTTTTGGTCTAATGTATAACCAACGATCGATTTGGTAAAGTTTATTGTCATATCTTTCTTGCAGTACAATTTCACAGGCAATTATGATTTGGTGAAATTCATGAAACTAATACGTGAAAAGGGAATGTGGGCAGTTCTTAGGGTCGGACCATTCATCCAAGCTGAATGGAATCATGGGTAATAATACTCAAGTATAATTAAATTACCAATATTTTTACATAATTTAGTATTATTACTAAATAAATGCTAATTATCTTAATATGAAATTTTGGCCTTGTGACAGTGGACTTCCATATTGGTTAAGAGAGGAGCCTAATATCACATACCGAACCGATAATCCGGCATACAAGGTGATCAATCACAATAACACTGTTACTTATTATATACTAGTACATGATTTTTATCTTAATTAATTGGTATTATATTATGCAAAATAAAAACTAATTAATCTAGTGTATGTAATATATGCAGATGAATATGGAGAAATGGGTTACCCAAGTGGTTAACCTGATGAAGGACAACAACTTATTTGCTCCCCAAGGAGGTCCCATTATGATGGCTCAGGTATTAAAATTACCACAATGGTTAGTTAATATTCCCTTTGTACAATTTGTACGTATGAAATTAATTAGTTGATAACATGACAACTAAATTTAATTTGGTGGATGAGGTTGTTTGTATGAAATTTATTTTCCCATCACCCTTCTCGATCTTTGTGTAGATTGAGAACGAGTACGATCATATAAGATATGCCTTCGATGAAGCAGCAGAGAGATACATCAAATGGGCAGGACAAATGGCTGTTGGCCTCAAAACTGATGTACCATGGCTTATGTGCAAATCTAAAGATGCACCCGGCGAAGTGGTAACATATAGTAAATTTAGCTCACAAACTATTGAAAAAACAGCAGTTGGTATCTTGTTTAATTTGTGTACTTTGTATGTTTTTTTGGGCGAGGCAGATCAATGCATGTAATGGCAGGCATTGTGGAGATACATTCAAAGGTCCAAATACTCCTGGAAAGCCTTATTTGTGGACCGAGAATTGGACTGCTCAGTAAGAAGTTTTACCCTGTAAATGTATCAAAAATTAAAATAGCCTAGCTAACTTGATCTATACATGATTCACATACTCCGTGTTTGTTTACAGGTATAGAGTTTTCGGAGACGCACCTTCTCAAAGGGCGGCTGAAGATATCGCCTTTTCAGTGGCTCGTTGGTTCTCAAGAAATGGAAGCCATTTCAACTATTACATGGTACACATGTTGATCAATATTCTTATCACTATACTTGCATAGTGATAGGATACAATGTTTCATTTAAACCTTATACGGAATATCAATCTACTGGTTTATGAAATAATTTGCGACTTTATATACTAATTGTTTAGTTGTGGTATATGTAGTATCATGGTGGTACAAATTATGGAAGAACTGCTGCCTCCTTTGTCACCACTCGCTACTACGATGAAGCTCCAATTGATGAATTTGGTAATAAGCCTTGTTAATTTTTCCCCTGTTACGTAAATATATAGTGTATATAGTTCATCACATGATGATATATAATTTGGATTCTTTTTCTCTGAATGATGATTGTTAGGTCTAATAAGAGAGCCCAAATGGGGTCACTTGAAGGATTTGCACCAGGCTCTTGTGCTGGCCAAGAAGCCCATTCTTGAAGGAAAGCTTCGTATCAAAAAGAACGGTTTTGATTTTGAGGTATGTATAACCTAGAATAAAATTAAATGATAGTGTTAATTCCGTATGAATTTAGTTCGTTGTCACATTATCAATTCAAATAACTTAAACGTGTGATAATTTTTGGACTTAGAAGTTAACAAATCAATACGATTTCTAATAATCATGTATGTAATAATGGGCAGGCAAATTTCTATGAGAAGGGTGACCTTTGTGCTGCATTCCTATGGAACAACCACACACATGAAGTAAAAACGATGAAATTCAGAGGCAAAGAGCATGTAGTTCCACCCAAGTCCATTAGCATCCTACCAGATTGCAAGACTCTAGTCTATAATACCGACTATGTGAGTATTAACTTATAAATATCAAAACATACATATGGATGTTTATTTATCAGTTTATCAACCTCAATCTTTAATTTATGGTATATGAAACGAAAATCATTTTCTCTTAATTCGATAAACAGATGGTAGCTCAACATAGTGCAAGAGAATTTGTCAAGTCTGAGGTAGCGCATAGGAACCTTAGATGGGAGAAAACGACGGAGAGCATACCAAGAGATGGCGTCTTCTCAAGGGAACCTAAAGAACAATACTTTGTTACCAAAGATAAAAGTGACTATTTGTGGTACAGAACCAGGTAAAATATAATAAAAGCTACCAATGTTATATGTCCTCTCTAATTGATCGATGCACATAAAGACATAAGAGTATTGCTCTAGTTGTATGTCAACGTGACCATTACCTTACTTGTTTAATTGTACTAACACAATATTTTGTTTTGTGTGTGTGTGTGCGTGTGTTTTTTCCTCGCTCATTTCCACCTTTCAGTATAGATCTAGACAGTTCAGACTTGCCATTTAAAAAGTCCCTTCGACCAGTTTTGCAAGTGCTCAGTCTTGGCCACGCTTTGGTCGCCTATGTCAACGGAGAATTTGTTGGTATGCTTTATGGAAACTGCATGATTTTGTTTCTTAATTTACCACCATATACATGTTTTAAAACTTATTTCAATCAATATTCTCTAATCTTGACACACTAGATGCTACTAATATTACACATTAAAAAAAAAAAAAAAAAAAACGCGAATTGGTACGGTGCAAAAAGTGTAGTCAATAAGTTAACAAGAACAATGTACTTCAATAATTTGACATGCAAATTAATTTGTCCTTTAATAAACCTCACACTTCTATTTTCATTTTTCTAGGAACTGGGCATGGAGTAAAGCGAGAATACAACTTCCCATTTTCAGTAGCCATAAGATTGAAGGAAGGATTAAACAATATTTCAATTTTGGGATGCACAGTTGGAATGCCGGTAATTAAGTACAAAACACACTTGAATTTTCATTCTTACTTCTAATTTAATTTTTGATATAGCATGTATGTCAACTGATCATAATGCATGAATACACTTAAATCTTATGAAGGATAGTGGAAGCTATATGGAACGTAGGTTTACTGGGATCAGATCAGTAGAGCTCTTAGGTCTCGGTACCGGAAACCTTGATATCTCCTTCAATGGCTGGCATCACACGGTAAACTAAAGTCGTACAAAGAAATTAAATTTTATTTTTAATTAAGTATTTAGACTAACAACTTTTATAATGTAATGTATGGTTCAATCTAGGTTGGTTTGGAAGGAGAGAGGCTCCAGTACTTCACTGACGAAGGAGTATCAAGGGCTAAATGGACCCCTGCTTCAGGTGTTGGTGAACCTCTTACTTGGTATAAGGTACGACTCGTACGAGTTATATATAACTACGTACCATGATTACTTCCCGAGTTTATTGTTACATTAGTAGTTCAAAATTGTACGTATATTATTCAATCTTTTTTATTGAAGGATAACTAACTTGAGCGACTATTTTTAGGCCTACTTTGATGCACCAGAGGGAGATGAACCATTAACTATTAGACTACAAAACATGACCAAAGGTATCGCTTGGATAAATGGCCAAAGTATCGGGCGTTTCTGGTCATCTTACCTTACGGTCATGCAAAGCCCTTCTCAAAACGAGTAAGTGATATTTGTCATACAAAAATTTGATAATTATTCTACCACTTTAACCATCAACTTCACGATTGGTTTTATACTCTGTCAGTAAACCTTTATATTTAACAATTAATTGTATATGTTAGTGTAGTGTCAAAAAAGTTCACTATTAAATAAAACATTATTGAATTAAGATTGAGAAAAACAATGTTGTAGGTACCACATCCCAAGATCGTTCCTAAGGCCTAAGGACAACTTGTTGGTGATCTTCGACGAGGCTGGAGGAAACATTGACACAGTTCAAATCGAAACAGTGAATAGGGATAGTGTTTGCAGCTTCATAGAGGAAGATTGGCCAGCCGACGTGTGGTCTTGGAAGAGAAATGGGAACGAAATTGTGCCAGCAGGCGATACCCCTCAACTTAAGGCCTCCCTCAAGTGCCCTAAGGACAAAGTCATCAATCGCGTTGAGTTTGCTAGTTTTGGCAACCCTAAAGGTGTTTGTGGCTACTTCCTTCTTGGTGATTGCAACTCTCCCAATACCGTTAAAGTCGTTGAACAGGTGACTATAATCATTTATACAAATTATATATAGTCTCATTAGTGATCATATTAATAGTGACTGTGTGGGCGTGTGGTATGTACATATTTACTAATTTAGTCATATAGTCCCTATGTCATTTAATGTCCGAAACCCTTAAATGCTTAAGAGTCGAGTTACTATGGCCCTAATAGCATAATCGATTGTTCATACATAATACGGAGTAATATATATATAGTGACACATTTTAATTGTTTTTATGAGCAGAATTGTTTGGGAAAAGAGAGTTGCACGATACCAATAAATGAGACAACGTTCGACAAGGAGGCATGCCCAAACGTAGCAAAGAAGACATTTGCCGTGCAAGTGAAATGTGGACGTAGAGGATAGAAGCCTTGCATGTTGATTTTTATATATGGGTGTGGTATATGATTGTCATTGTAATTTTTTTCACCCTCTTTTTGATATACAGTAGATATTTGTATTATATAATGTACTGTATTTATTAGATAGGAATTGAAATTTCAGAAGCCATTAGAATCCAACTCAAAAGCAGAGCTTTGCATGTCTTACAATCAATTCCTATCATCATCTAGCCATATGATATATCTACTTATCTAGTGAATTGGTACTCGTATCCATTACGGAGTAAAAAGTAAAGGAAAGAATTGAGTGCAATCCGACTTGATTGGTTGTACCCGGTACGTCACTAAAAATGACTTAAACTCATACCATGAGATACATTTAATACTATGTAAAAAAGTCATACGTACAAGCAAGCTAGAAGACGAATAGTGGCATTAGTGGTGTGGTAACGAATTATTTTATTTATTTTTTAGTTAGTTCTAGACTTTTAGATAACGTTATACTAGCTAACTAGTACAAAGACTACAAACCCATACCAAGATATATACTTTTACCAATTATAATTTCAAAATAAAAAATTTAAAAAAAAAATATTGACATGTTTTTCAACAACAATCATTCAAATTAAACAAGTTGGATATTCACAATCTAATTAGTTTTATGTAATTTAATTTTTAAGAGATGAAAAATGAGAAGATATATTGATGATGTTGTAATAATAATGTAATTTTAATTAATTTCATGATATTAATTAGGAGGTTGCCTAAGTAGGCTAAGGATTTTTTTTTTTTTTTTTTTGGGTGGTTGGGGGGGGGGGGGGGGGGCGCAGTAGGAGGTTGCTTAATGCTTAACCATTATTGATCAACTATCATTTTCATTTTTACGGTCAAATGAATTTTATAAACTCTAATCGTAATTTGTTAATACGAGTAGTATATAAGAGAAATCATAGCTAAGTGAAATTTTGTTAGAAGTGTGTTAAGGTGCATTCAATTCTCTTGAATTTCACTATTCTAAAAATATTTAGCTTAACTCAACCTAATAAATTTAAACTTATTAGAACTTATCTGAATTTATAAGCAAGAACTTTATGGACCTTATTGGCTTATTAGAACTTATTTAGTTGTAATATGTAAAATGACGAATAGCATAACTATTTGGCAACGGATGTAGTATTATTAGCTCCAACCAATGAAGTATATAGCCATCAGTTCATTATTAGATTAGTCATGCACTCATGATGAATCAAAACAAAAGAACCATTATTTTTTACTTCAAATCTCAAAAGAAGATTCTAATAAACAAGTGTCAAATCTCAAATGTGTTTGAGGGCATAACATTGATCAAGATTTGTGAAGAGAACGATATAATACCACTTTTATCCTCTAATAAATAATGAATTGAAGGATGAAAGAGCCCAATGTTCGTTTCGTCTATGTCACAAATGTATTTGAAACAAACTTGAATGTTAATATGTAAAAGATAACAACATTAAGATTATTCTTTTAAAAGATGAAAGTGAAAGAAACTAACATAATTAATCAGGAAGTACTTCGTATAAAGATATGATAGATGCTTAAATAATAGGATGCACTTTTGCATTTTTTTCAAATGATGAGAATCAAGTAGGAGAGTATTAATAATGTAATACAAGGTACATGAGAATAAGAATGTTTCGAAAACAAAAGTTTGTACAATCGTATTTTTGAACAATCTAAAATATATCTCATCTCACTGCTTGATGCCTACTTACTTCGTACATAGAAATAACAAAGAAAGAACTAAACATTTTAAACCAAAAATAAAGAAAGGAAATTTTCTTCAGAATAAGGCCTATAAGTTTTCATTCCTTGGGGCTGCACCTCACTTGTACGGCCAACACTTTGGTTGTTTCCTTAGGACAATTGTTATTGCCTTTGTCGAATAGGTTTCTATCAACTGGAATCGTGCAACTATCCTTTCCCAAACAATGCTGCTCGTAACAAAATAAACAAGAGTATAAATTATTGTTTTGGTTATAAAACAATCATTAAGCTACGGGTTGAATTGGCACCCAAACAATATACTACCTCCGTTAACTATTATGTGTAACAAAGAGGTATTATTTGTGAGATATAAAATATTCCTTTGTTGCACATAATAATTAACGGAGGTAGTAATTATCATGCATTGTTGTTAATATAAACGTAACACAAAAATAAGGTGTTAAAAAATGCTTGCCTGCTCGACAATCTTTTGGGAGTGTGGAGAGTTGCAAGTGCCAAGGATGAAGAAGCCACAAACACCATAAGGGTTGCCAAAGCTAGCAAACTCGACGTGACTGATGACTTTGTTGTTAGGGCATCTGAGTGATGCCTTCAGCTTTGGGTCATCAACCGCGGCAATTATGTCATGGGCATCCCTTTTCCATGATGTTACGCTTGGTGGCATGTTTTCGGATATGTAGCTACAAATCACATCACGGTGTACTGTCTCAATTTGGACTGTGTCTATGTTCCCTCCTGCCTCGTCGAAGATCACCAAGAAGTTGTCCTTAGGCTTAAGGTATGATCTTGGAATGCGGTACCTGTAACATTTTTTTTGCATTTTTAATCATTAAATCGCGTTGCATGTACATACTTTATTGGTAACAATAACTTGTATATAAACTTAATTTTGATGTGTAACTTTGTTGGATTGATGTTATAGTGCATATTATAATATTAACCTATAAAGATTATCTTATATATTCATGGATAGTCAAAACTAAAAGAATATACTTTCTAGACTCTTGGAGATCATGAAATAAAATTGAATTAATTGAAAAGGGATAAAGAGTACTACACTTGTTTCTTAAAACTTACTCGCTTTGAGAAGGTGTGTCCCGTATGGTGAGGAAGGTCGACCAGTAACGTCCTATGCTTCTTCCATTGACCCAAATCACTCCTTTAGTCATATTCTCCATTCTGATAGCTACTGGATCATTTCCCTCTGGGGCATCAAAGTGTGTCTACAAACAAGTTTAGCTTGCTCGTTATTATATCCAACAATTATATTACGGATTTTTAATATTGTCATAGACTAATTAATCCAAAAAACCAATTGTGTTGTGATTTTTTGTTCATCCTATGCAAAGAATCGCATTTATCTAAATCGTCTATCCCACTTTATGTGTAACACTTTATACATGTGACAGTGTGTATGGCACTTTTTGACAAGATTAAAGATTTTGGTACTGAATTTTTAGTCAAGGTAAACAAAAAATATAATTTTACCTTATACCAAGTAAGTAATTCACCAGGTCCCTTTGCAGGTGTCCAATGTGCCTTACTAGCTCCTTCCTCAGTGAAGTACTGAAGCTTCTCTCCATGCAAACCAACCTACATGATGCATTATATAATTAAAATTTCTATTCAACATTTAACAAAATCAGTACAAATTATATACGTAACGAGTCGTTTATACCGTGTGATGCCAACCATTGGAAGAAAGATCAAGTTCTCCAGTACCTAAACCTTGGATTTCAAGGAATTTTAGCCCTGTCCATCTTCTCTCCATATAGCTTCCACTATCCTTCATACCAATAGATTAATAGAGTTTGATTAATATATATTTATTTTGTCTATATTATATTCGAGTTTGTAACACATTTATACAAGAAACGGTTCATTTAGTTAATTACATTGGTACGTACTTAGGCTATAAATAAGCGAATTGTAGTTAGTTTTGGGTTAGGGGAAGTTAGATAATTACGGACATTTCACCCACTATTAGTTGCCGTAATTTTAAGCAATAATTAGCCTGACTCTTTATACAACTACATAATTAGCCACAGTATGCTCTTACCGGCATTCCCATTGTGTTGCTCAAAATTGATATATTGTTGACACCTTCTGTCAAATGTACAGGTGCTTGGAAAGTGAAAGCAGGAGCTCTATGGAATCCGTGGCTTGATCCTTCGAAAGGAAAAACAAAGATTACGAGCAAGAAACAATGAACAAATAGCTCTTTTATTAGTAGGTCTCGTATACAACCATTGTGTATAACAAAAGTCAATCTTTGTTGAAGTTGACTTTTATGTGATTGGGGGTGATTGTATACAAGTACACTCGACCTATTAATTGTACATAATTTCTGCCCGAGTTTATTTATTTTAATAAAAAAAAACTAAAGGCTAATACCATACCTATGTATTTTCCATTGACAAAGGCTTGCAAGGAGTGACCAAGATGGTAAAGTTGTAAGACTGGTTGGAAGGACTTTCTAAAAGGCAAGTCAACATTGTCCAATTCTACACTGAAATTCAAAGTTTCATTTATTATTTAACCTTCATTAGTAATGAAGAATTCAAAGTAATACATTTGTTAAAATTAATTAAGCAACATTATTATGTTACCTTGTTCTGTACCACAAATAGTCTGTTTTGTCCTCTGCAGTATGAAACTGTTCCATTGGAGCCCTTGAGTAGACATCAGATTTAGGTGAGATGATTTCATTAGTCTTCTCCCATTTCAAATCCTTGTTAGCTTTCTCGGATCTAACAAACTCCCTTGAACTATGTTGCGCGATCATCTGTTTTTCAGATTAAATGTCAGGAGTGTATGTATGTTAGCATCAAAAGAATTGATGCAGAATAATATATTAATCAAGCTAGTACTCTGATCTTCCTAGTGACAATTTACTTGATTTGGACCGATTGATTATGCAATTAGGAAACACTTACAGAGTCTGTATTGAGCACAACAGTCTTGCAATCAGGCAAGATACTGATGGACTTTGGTGGAAGGGTGTGCTCTTTGCCTCTGAATTTCACAGTTTCTGATGTATGAGTACGGTTATTCCACAGGAAAGCTGCGCAAAGGTTGTTCTTCTCGTAGTAACGTGCCTGATCATTGCATAAATTTATAGGTAATTAGCTAACATGTCATGTGTAACATGAATTGTCACATTTATAATTGTTGAAAACATAAATTTGCATCCCACACTTGGTGTTTATGTTCAATCTTTCTCGCATCTGTTATAACATAAACCTATCGCTCTTATGACTCTTATGGTCTATCTTTCATATAGCTTACCTCCAAATTTGGGCCGAATATCTCAATACCATATCTCCCATTGACTACAGCCTTCTTGCTCAACATTAAAGCACGGTGTAGATCCCTCAAGTGTCCCCATTTGGGTTCCCTTATTAAGCCTGACAGTAAGTAAAGCATAGCAATCAGCAATCAGTAGTCATCCTTTATAATTACACTAGGAATACCTCTAAGCTCAACAAGAGTAAAGGGCTCACCAAATTCATCAAGGGGAGCTTCATCATAGTAGCGAGTGGTGGTAAAGGCTGCAGCAGTCCTTCCATAGTTTGTGCCACCATGATACTGCAGCAACAACAAATATATACATAGAGAATTAAGGGAAGAGCGAATAGAAGTAAAATCAGGCCTTTTTCTCAAGATTCAAACCATTCAATGCAAGGATTTTTATTTTCTTCTTTAACTATGATTGGTGTTTAATACCATGTAATAGTTAGAATGGCTTCCATTTTTGGAGAACCAGCGCGCAACAGCAAAAGCAGTATCCTCAGCTGACCTTTGAGAAGGTACATCTCCAAAAACTCTGAACCTGTATTTACAGAAGGAAGGAAACTTTGTTTACCATATGATCAAATGATAGACAATTAGTAATGATAGAGTAATAGTATCAACTACTTACTGAGCAGTCCAGTTCTCAGTCCACAAAGACGGCTTGTGAGGTGCATTAGGACCTTCAAATGTTTCTCCACAATGTCTACCATTGCAAGCATTGATCTATCCACCAAATAAAGAAATATTGTATTAGACTGTTGCAAGACTTGCAACAAGTTAAGGTGATCTGAGGCAGGGCGCGGCTTTTTCCTTTTGAACATTTTGAGATAAATTAATGTGAAACGACCTCATCTAAGACATACTCTTAGCTTAAACTGCTAAAAAAAATTACAAAAGAGGCACTAAAAGGGAAAAAGAGAACAATCAAAGTACCACTTCGCCAGGGGCATCTTTTTGCTCACACATGATCCATGGTACACCAGTTTTCAGACCAAGAGCCATGGTTCCTGCCCAATTAATATACCTCTCTGCAGCGCCGTCCCTGAATGCTCCTCTAACGTGATCATACTCGTTCTCAATCTGAGCAAATGCGACTAGGAAGGTTAGACTAGGTCTACATGTAACATCAACGCGTTGATATTGTAATTTTGTTAAATACATTATCCTAATTGTGTTACTAGCTACAACATTTCTAGTAGATGGTCACCTGAGATAATATAATAGGACCTCCTTGTGAGGCATATAAATCGTTATCCTTCATCAATGATACAATCTTCGTGACCCATCTCTCTGTATTCATCTGCATAAAAATACATATAAAATGTCGTAAGACACTTGAAAGCATATTCCTACGTTCTTATAATTGATCGTAAAGTTATGGTTAATTACCTTGAATATTGGATTATCAGTTCGATATGTGATGTTAGGCTCCTTTCTTAACCAAAATGGGTATCCTCTGCCATAGGATCACATCATAGGAGGGGTGTAAGAATAAATTGTGATTAAGTATGAATAAGTATTGCTGTTTTTAGGAACATTTTATGATCCTATGAATTTCGTTGTCAAAATGATACGAGTAATAATTATAAAGTTGAATTTCATATTATAGTAAGATGGTATTCCTATTAATTACCCGTTATTCCATTCACCTTGAATGAATGGCCCGACTCGTAGTGTTGCCCACATGCCTCTCTCAGCAACCAGTTTAATGAACCTTACAATATCATTTTGGCCTGTAAAATTGAACTGCAAAAGCAATGCATATGGTTAATCACTTAAGAATTGATTGATTTTCACATATTCAAATATATAAACTCGGTCTTTTATGAGAGAAACGTTGAAAACCTTGCTCTCTAAAATCAACACTTAAATTTTCGAATGTTAATTACCTCCCCCTTGACAGGCTCATGTACGTTCCAAAAGACGTAAGTTTGGATCACATTTAGGCCCCCTTCTTTGCATTTGTCAAGGACATCTTCCCATTCCTAATTTACCAAAAAGAAAAGAACATTAGCCACTACCATATTGTTTCATAAGAATTGTGTTTATTAACAATGTCTAATATTAGTAAGTATATTGACTTAGGAAAATATACATCATAGCTACTTCTTGACTTTTAGTGTGATATGTTTTCCTAGGAAAATCAAGATTAGGTCATCAATATGAATATGAATCTAAGATTATTCTTCCAACAAGCAAAAACCTTAACATGGTATCAAAGCCATTCAATAAATATTTCGAATTGAATCTATACACTTGCAAGGTCGAGAGTCACGAACAAGGCCTAAACATATCCAACACAATTTTCACATAAAAGATGTGATTTTCATGCATGATCCGAATTCATTAGAATTTGTTGTAAGAAAACACTAGATCAAGTTTTCATTTGTATGTACCTCAACCGGGACACGAGGATAATGTACTGATCCAGAGAAGAGGAGCTCCCTATTGCCATGAATTATCAAGGATCGTGAATCATACGTAACATTAAATTCATTTTTTTCCTTGTCCTTCTTACAGTGCACCGTGACCAAAAACAAAAGGCCTATGATAAGTACATATTTATAACATTCCGTCATGATTGGCCTTTTCCTCGTACCTTAAAATTAAACGAACAAAGCAATTAGATTGAAAGTAGGAAAAAGAATACATGGATGTCCAAAATATTTCGAGTAGTAACGTTTTTTCTAGATAAGATCTAGAAGATAAAAAATCGAAAATTTCATTCAAACTTACCCTGTGTAGGAAACACCAAAACCATCAAATGATTGATATTGGTTCTTAAATATTTGTTATCTGTCCAAACATCATTTTGATCCTCTTTTTTCTCTCTTCTTTGCAATATATCCTATTTATAGTTAGATCAACAGACAAAATTTTGGTCTAATTAAAGGCTTTTTGACTTGTTCTTTTTATCATGCATTGCATCTAGAAACATTGTAAAACATACTACCTATATATAGTAGTTATATTAACATTGTAACTAATAGTCATGTATGCAGAACTTGAATGGCAAATAAATTGGACTCGTAGTGTCGAATTCAAATGATATGCAGAACATGCTTATCAAGTTATCATACATGATTTGAAACGTTAACTCGACGTAATTCATTCTTAATAAACAGCTAATCATACATGATTTAAAAAGAACAATGAGTACCAGGTAATAATCAATCAAATATCCTAACAACCAGGAACTAATTATTCATTTATTTGCTTAATTGGGATTTCCTAAGTTGTATCATTGGTTTTGTGTATATATACCCTTTGAGTTGTATTAATCAAATCTTTTGCACTGGGCTATTTCTTGGCCATGTCCTCTTCCTGTCCATGGAAGAGTGACTACTTGCAATAATTTCGAAAACCCGGGCCCTGCTTATCCCCTGTTCTTCCCTTTATTTTTGAGATTATATAGATGAAAAGGGAAGTTATGGTGGAATTTTATAAATATGTACTTATATTAGCCCTTGTGTTCTTCATCACCGTGCATGGCGAGGAGAAAAAAACCCATGGTGTTACATATGATTCACGGTCATTGATAATCAATGGCAGTAGAGAGCTCCTCTACTCTGGTTCAGTACATTACCCTCGTGTACCTGTCGAGGTACCGAAAATAATCTGTCAGTTGTACCTATCTATGATTCTATGTGAAACCAGGATTTATTGAAACCGAGTAATTTTATTGAGAAGTTGGCTATGTAACACTAAGACATGAATTGTTTAAAAAATGACTTAACATGGAGTATTTTCTTAATCACGTCCTAATTCATGGCGAATGTGATCATGTTTTTTGGTAAAATAGGAATGGGAGGATATCCTAGACAAGTGCAAAGATGGAGGCCTAAATGTGATACAAACTTATGTGTTTTGGAGCCAGCATGAGCCTGTTAAGGGCCAGGTGAGATAAAAAAAATAAAGGGCATTTCTTTGTTATAAATTCATGTATCAACATAAACTTATAAGAAATAATAATCTTTAATTATATTGTTATTGCAGTATGATTTCAAGGGCCAGAATGATATTGTTAGATTCATCAAACTGATTGCTGAGAGAGGCATGTGGGTGACCCTCAGGGTTGGACCTTTTGTTCAAGCTGAATGGAACAATGGGTAGGGTTCTTATTTTAGTTTTGTTACGAACCACCACATGACAATGTTACCGACCTCTTACATCTTCTTTAAAAGATCGACGAGATGGTTAAAGACTAACACCATATCATCTATGCTACACAGTATATTACATTAATTTTTAGGCAATTTTACAAATCCTCTAGATGTGTTCCAAACAATTTTGTCATATGCAAATGATAAGCCAGTAATAATGGCCTTGTTGCAGAGGATATCCATTTTGGCTAAGAAAGGAGCCCAATATTGCATACAGAACAGATAACCAAGTGTTTAAGGTAACTATGACGATTTCAATCACTAATCTTACACAATTTTGTCGAAATCAATAAGAAATTTTCACAAATTTGAACGTAAACAGGCAAATATGGAGAAATGGGTCAACAAGATCATAGGCTTAATGAAGAAACACAATTTATTTGCCTCACAGGGAGGTCCTATTATCCTGTCTCAGGTGATCGATGTTGTCAGTTGGAGAGCTAGTTAGCATAGCACTCTTTAACACTTCATCACATCCTTTTTTCAGGTGGAAAACGAGTATGACACTATCAGAGAAGCTTACAGATTTGGTGCCGCGGAGAGATATATCCGTTGGGCAGCAGACTTAGCTGTTGGACAGAAAACTGGTGTACCATGGATCATGTGCAAGCAAAAAGACGCGCCTGGTGAAGTGGTAAACTTTACTCCCATCTTAATACTTATTGAGGAGAAACTTTAAGATGTTTCATAACTTACCCATTTCTTTACTACAGATCAATGCTTGCAATGGTAGACATTGTGGAGATACATTTACAGGTCCAAATGCACCTAACAAGCCATCTCTGTGGACTGAAAACTGGACTGCACAGTAAGTAGTTCTTACTAACAGTAATAACAATGATTTTCTCAATTATAAAAGTTATGTACATTTTTAATCTCCTAGATTATCTCTTGCTCCTTTACATGATTTAATATTAACCAAAATCTTCGTGTTTTGTTTGTTAATGTAACTACACAGGTACAGAGTTTTCGGAGATGTACCTTCTCAGAGATCAGCTGAGGATACTGCCTTCGGTGTGGCACGCTGGTTCGCCAAGACAGGAAGCCACACTAACTATTACATGGTATTTAACCAGCAAAAACTCAAGTTTGGTGCTCTCTTTGTCCCATATTTTATACTACTTCTAGTATTAGTCTTTTTGGGATGTCCAATTTTTTCCTTCTCCATCTCCTGAAACAAGATTTGTGTCAACATTCCTACACTTCAGTTACTTCTATTTCTCTCTATCAACACCTACTACTATTCTTAACGTGTAGTCCAATTTTTGTAAAAAGGACATAATATAATATGGGACGAAGAGAGTACAATCTAGGACAGTTTAAGGATAACTCTATTTACCTTTTACCATCTTATATTATCTGTGGGTTGGCGTAGTACTATGGTGGTACAAACTATGGAAGAACTGCAGCATCCTTTACTACCACTCGCTACTATGATGAAGCTCCACTTGATGAATATGGTAAATACCTTCCCCTGGATCTTAACAGAACTCCTATTGAGCAAATGAGCAGTATAACACCAAAAACAAAAATCATCATTTGAACATGAATTGCTATGCATGCTTGATTAGGTCTGAAAAGAGAACCTAAATGGGGACATTTGAGGGACTTGCACCGTGCTATAGCGCTAAGCAAGAAGGCTATTCTTGCAGGGAGATATGGTGTCAAGAAATACGGTCCAGATTTGGAGGTAATTTAGCTTATAACAAAAAAGAAACTAAAAGCATGTTTGATGAAACTTTGTAGTAAAAAAATGTGTTTCTTCCTAGATTTTTATTGCAAACGCATATTTAATTATCGCGTTGATTGGGGAGGGAGATGCATTACCATTGCCTGCTAAACAGCTAGACTGTTAGGATCAAACGTGGTTATTGGCTAATTTGCTTCATTGTTCTTGATATATGCATCGATCAGGCACGTTATTTCGAGAAAGGCAACCTTTGTGCAGCTTTTCTGTGGAACAACAAAACACATTTGTCAGAAACCATGAAATTTAAAGGCATAGAGCATACCCTCCCACCCAAATCCATCAGCATCTTGCCAGACTGCAAGAATGTTGTCTTCAATACAGATCAGGTCGGTTTTTTTATTTCAAATAACATTAAACCAAACATAATCATGTACACTTCACTGATTCACTCTAAGTAACTTGAGAAACAGATGGTAAGTCAACATAGTGCAAGAGAATTTGTAAGGTCTGAAAGAGCCAACAAGGGTCTGAAATGGGAGAAGACTGCTGAGCACTTGCCGACTAAGCATGATCTCTACGCGAGGGATCCACAGGAACAATTTTATATTGGACAGGACAAAACTGACTACTTTTGGTACACAACCAGGTGATCAAAATAAAAAAATCAAATGAGCATCAGTTGATATTTGCTAGTAGATAGTTAATCAGCCAATATTACCATCCCAATGATTTATTTAATTTGGTGTGAATCCAACTATTGTAATTACAGGATAGATTTGGACAATGTCGACTTGCCTTTTAAAAAATCTCTCCAGCCAGTCTTATGGGAAAAGCACCTTGGGCACGCGATGCATGCCTTTGTCAATGGAGAATTTGTAGGTATGTTTAGTTTTTTTTTTCAACTTAGATATATGTTACCAAGGATAACATTCTTTGGTGACCATTTCTACCCATTTCCTTTCTTAAGGTACCAAACACGGAATCCACAGAGAACCAAGTTTTTCTTTCCAAGCGCCCATCAGATTGAAGGAAGGCGTCAACAATATAACAATCTTGAGCAGTGTGGTTGGAATGCCGGTAAGAGCAAAGGGACAAGGGTGAAGCAGAATTTTTCTTCATTTTAAGGCCCCGTTTTCAACTGTAACAGTTTCAATCAGTCTAAAACAGTAATTGCATATACCTTAAATAACTCAGCCGTTTTATTAAAATAAAATGAAGAGAACAGGACTCAGCCATTTATTGTACTAAAATAGTAGTATATAGATATGATATACTGCATCAAACTACTGCCAACGAAGATGACGAAGAGACTGATCAAATTATAATTGCTTCATCTGATGTAAAGGATAGTGGAAGCAATATGGAGAAGAGGTGGACAGGGTTGAAAAATCTGGCTATCTTAGGTTTAGGTACAGGAGATCTTGATCTGTCATTAAATGGATGGCACCACAAGGTACATACTGACTTAATGTTGATTTGTATAACTTCTACTGTGTAATTTAGTCTTTGTACATAAAAATTAAAGACCTGAAAACTGTACTCAAATGCAGATTGGTATGGAAGGAGAGAAACATCAGTACTTCACCGAGGAAGGCGCAAAGAAGGTGAAATGGACCCCGGCAAAAGGACCTGGGAAACTTTTCAGTTGGTACAAGGTAATATAGTTCTCACTGCTGTGACATAAGGTGTATTCATTGATAAAAGATGATATAACTTACTTGAAGTAGTGACATCCTGAAATAATGTGAATAACTGAATATTGATTAAGTGTATAGGTATCAGGAAAGTAGGAGGTAGACTTGATTTAAGTGCATTGTCAATTTAGCAAACTAAGAAGTGTGTTTTAGGCATACTTTGATGCACCAGACGGAGATGAACCCGTGGCTATAAGGATGCAAAACATGACCAAAGGAATGATTTGGGTAAATGGCAAAAGCATAGGACGTTACTGGTCGAGCTTCCTCAGTGTCAAGCAAGAGCCTTCTCAAAAAGAGTAAGTAATCATACAATAGAGCAAGAACAAAAATATGTTCAAAATACTACTATGCTCATAAATCAAAAAAATAAAATTGATATAGGTACCACATTCCAAGAGCATTCCTTAAGCCTAAGGACAACTTGTTGGTGATCTTCGACGAGTCAGGAGGAAACATAGACACAGTTCAGATTGAAACAGTAAACCGCGACACCATCTGCAGCTGCATAGGGGAAGACATGCCGCCAAATGTCATGGCATGGAAAAGGGTTGATGGGGACTTCCTTGCAGCAATTGAGGACTTAAGGCCCAAGGCATCACTTGAATGCCCCAAGAACAAAGTTATCAGCCGCGTTGAGTTTGCTAGCTTTGGTAATCCTTACGGTGTTTGTGGTTACTTCCTCCTTGGCAACTGCAACTCCCCTGACACCCAAAAGATTGTTGAACAGGTGAGCCAATTCTCTTACAAAGTCTTCAAATGAAAAAGATCGAAAATCTTGACAAAAACGAATACAATTGCTTAGAACTATATGTCTATATATGCATGCTCTTTCTAGTAATTGGTTAATTACATACATTAGTCGAGTATTATTTCAAGGTTGAACTTTGACCATTAATATCTTCAAGGACAGATAAATATCACGAAGTACATACTTACTACTGTATCAATGCGACAATGCATGGTGATAAATACTAACTCTGATCCTCTTGTTATATTGAACAGCATTGTTTGGGACAGGTTAGATGCAAAATTCCAGTAGACAGGAAACTCTTCAACAATGGCAATGACAAGTGTGCAGGAGTAACATCAAAAACATTGGCCGTGCAAGTGAGATGCAGCCTCAAGAACTAAAGCGACTCTCTTTTTGTATTCATTTTTTGAAAGAAAAACAATGCCAATCAAAGAAATACAATATGTTTTTGGGGAAAATCAATTTATCCATAGGCTGGAGCAAAGAACAATATTCGAAATAAATAAAAATTGGTCTTACTAATCTTTATGTTTTTTTTTCATAATATTAAAGGGGCTAAATATTCATTTGAACTCATATATATCAAGGAAAATTTTGTAATTGAAAATATACATTTAGATAAACACTACATCTTGCACAAGAAGTATGCCTTTAAAAGTGTCAATATGGAACCTCGAAGGTAAAGTCGCCATAAATAATTATGGGTTCAATATTATAAAATAAAAGTTACATTTTTTATTAATAAAATAAAATTCCTCTAAAAAATAAAAACCGCAAAAAATGGCACCAAAATCCAATTAAATGCGTTTATGTAAACATATTACTCTTTACAAGATTAATTTCCAAAGTACATACCCTACAACTAGGTTTTTTTTTTTTTTTGACAAAGAGAACAAGCAAAGAAAAACAAACGGTTATTGAGTGGTAAAACACTAGGTAATCAAATCAAATCAGGCTTAAGTTTTGAATGGCTTGAAAATACTTTTCAGGAATTCTTTTAAACTACATACGAGTAGTAGATTTGCAGAAACATTTGAATCCGTATTAAGGTTTTTTTGACGAAGTATTACGGAGGTCTTATAATTTAACATAATACGAAGTACTTGCTCTACTTAGTAGGCAAACTAGAATCGCATTAGCCATCAATTTCCCAGTAACAAAGTGCTAAATTTAAGGCTGTGGACTGTGGTAGTCCAATATGTCAAGTGGCGTGACAATAAAAAGATCCAAAGGCAGAAAAAGACACATTATAAACCAATCTTATAAAAACTTGATGAACTAATTATAAGAGATGATTAAGAACAAATTATTTCCTATTTTCTTTGTTTGAAGTACATCAACTGTTTTCAGAAAATGTATGAAAATCTCAAGCACAGAAACTAATATATACATGCCCGAAAGGCAGGGCAGTAACAAAAGAACCCATTCTGTCCAAAAGCCGCCGATCCAAAGAAGTCACCCTAAATCACTTTTCCTTAGCAACTGAAATTGAGTAGATGTTTATTGTTGTTACTAAAATGCAGATGCTGAAACGATGGAAAATAGAAAGAAACTTGGAAGACCACCCGAATCTGTGTGAGGTTGGAGAAGGAATTATATACAAAATGTACGACAGATCTTAAACATGTTTCAAATACCTAAACAAACCCACATCAGAACCCCAAAATTCAACCAGGCCATCTCCAAAAGTAAAAACTTCCTATAAGCCACCACTTTCACAAGGCATTATTTCATCACAATACACAATCTACTTCAAAGATCATATTCAGCCCAAGCAAGAATGTCTTTAGCCACCCAAACCTTATGTTGAATTCACAAACCTCATTTGGATAACTTGACAGACCCATAAATCATGACAAATCAAATGATCCTTGTCCTTCGTTGATAGCATAAAGCAACTTCTTGAACATAATTTCCTGCTCAGCAAATATCCAAGCCCAGTATTAATCTCTAGGGATAGAGAACCAACAAAATATATCTGATACAAAGATCCCATAAAACAAAAGTTCAGAAGGAGATTTTTGTAATACCTTTGTCGAGTAAGGAGGAAGCTTAAGGTAATTGGCGCAGGTCATGACACTTGGCAAATCATCATCCGCAGATTCTGAAGGCCCTGTTCCATTTGAAGCTGTGGTGGTGGTTGAAGAATGCTGTAATAAGACAGGCAGCAAGTTTAGAAGTTCTGGATAGAGACCAGATATTGAAATATATCAGAGTTTAGCATGAAAATATTACCTTCCTCACAATTGTCAATTTGGGGCTCAGCACAGCCAAACCACCAGGTGGAAGGCGTGGCGCACCAGTGACAAATTGACAAAAAGCACGTTGCTGTTCTGGTGTGAACTCACCCATAATCTCAAGCAACTGAAATAAGTAGATGATTCAGCTTTAAATTGAAAGTACATGTAACACAAGCTGGTAGGAGTTTATTCAAGAAAAGAAACGTACATAAACAATGGCAGGACTTTTGGCTGTGTATCCATGATCAAATTTAATGTGATCAACAAGCATATCAGGCTGCAAATGATGAAAATTATCAGCCCATATGTAAAAGAACCTCATTGAGCACAATGGCAAGAAGTTAACAACCAAAGTTAAATGTTACCTTCCACAACTCTCTACGGCCACAAAGCAAGCAATCTAATTCATCTGGAGAAAATATCTGTAAAGATGTGACGTCGAAAACCTGATCACAAGCACATGAAAATTAGTTACTACAAGCCACAAGGCCCACAACAAAAATAATATCCCAAAAACAAGGGAGTAGTCCAAGTAAGTAACAACTCAACAAACCATAATAACACATCAGCCCCTGCAAACACTAAAATATGGACTTCAGCAACATAGCTGAAACACAATAAGAAACAATTAACAAGCACCAGACAAGTTTAAAAAGAGAGACATTCCAGAGTCATCAAACAAACTGGTTATATCAATCTTGAAGCCAATTTTGCAGGAAAAGCCTAACCAGATTGATACGAAAGCCAACAAGCTAGCAGTGTGAGTGCAGGCAACAAGCTAGCAGTGCCAGTGCGGCCATAGTAAACTCATCAAACTAATTTTCATAATTAATACTAGGTAGGCTTTAACAAAAATTGAGAACCAAATTCTTAGACGGGCTTAATGAATAGTTAAGACAATCAATTAAAAAAAATGATACGGAGCATTAACTAAGAGAGCATTGGTTAGGTGTAGAACAATACCCGGAAAAACATATTCCCATTTTCCTTTGTTTAAATTGTTAGTTTGTAAGGGAGTGAAAACAACTCACCCAATGGTGAAAAGCATTTCCCAATACTACAAAAAGGGAAGCCACAATCTCCTCCCCACTCCTTACCACCCTTATTCACTCCCATCAATCCTCTTCATTCCACTTCCATATCACTTTTCTCTATAACTTTTCTTGTAAGTAATCAAACAAAGGAGACCTAATTTGCAATTGTGTTTTCCCTTGAAAGATTGTTTTGCATGGAAAAATATATTTGATTAAAAATGTTTTCCATCAACCCAAATGGAGGCGAGAATACAATTTTTTTTTCCCAAAACAGGATGTTGCACAGAAACATAGCAAGATAGATAAATCCTAACCTGGTTGAAGCCTGCCCTAAAAGCTTCCATTTGCCTTATAACTCCAGACTTAACAGTGGCATCCACCACCAATGATATGTATTCCTCCAAATTATTGATATCCACCTGCAATAACACCCACAGAAGAACTTAGAATGGCCGGGACACAAGTAACAAAAGTAGACGAAACCTAGAATGAAAATGAGATTCATTTAGCTTTACATTTTCATCCCCTGGTTTCAAGACGTAATCTGGATATCCAGGAAGCGTAAAATCTAAACATAGATCCTCAATTGGAGTTCCACGAAAGCACAACTCCGCAATCACATCTGGATGATCACCACCTATTGACTCTAAATACTGCTTTCTGCAGACTAAGGCTTGTAATTCTCGTAAAGTTTTCCCAACCTCTGGATCAAATGAAAGGATATCATGCAAATCAAGCTCCTACAGTACAAATAAACCAGGTTAACAAGAGCAACAATATTACTAAAAAAATTGGTTAAAAAAATATCTCTGAAACAGCAAACATCCAATAAAACTGTTACCTGTCCAAGCACAAGTTTGTAAAATGCTGTTGATAATGGAAGATCCAAAAGTCTTCCATCTTGAAGAGCTTTGGCCATGATTCGTCCAAGAAGTCGAAAATGTTCTACAACTTTGCTGAAATGGCTGCTCTCTGAAGCATCAGCACTTGGTGGCCACGGTCGAGGAAACAAACCAAGAGGGGATTGGACAAGATTTGCATTTTCCCCATAATTCAATCCTGAGATGTCTTCAGATTTCCCGTCTTTGCTCTGATTATCACTATCAATTTCCATAGAAGATTTGTCAAATGAACTTGTTCTCCACATTTTCAAATCCACTTTCTGCAGGTCGTGACTCAAAAGGGTGTAAAACTCCAGTGTTGGACCCAATCCTGTCCCAACCTCACCAAAATACTCTACTTCAAGGACAGCCTTCTGGCTGGAATACATTTCCATAACTTTTGCTGCAGAATCTAAAATGCGATTTCGTGAAACACGAACCTTCTGGCGCTGTAGCCTCCCAACTCGAACTTCCCTTTCACTAGACCCTTGACCCTCACCCTGTTGTTGCTGCAAACGATACAAGGCCCTAGACAATCCAAATGCAGTTGAATAGAAAAACTGCCGACGAGTTTCAAAAGGAAACAAAAATGGACATGCTTTTGTCAGCTGGTAGCACCAAGATGGCAGACTACCACTGCATAATGCAAGTGCATCTTGTATCTGCCTAGCCAATTTAGGGGTGAGTTTGCTGTTAACAAATTCTGAAGTAAGAACCCTAGCTCCAGCAACAGTCAACTCATTTAAATCTGAAATCATCCCTTCTGAGAATTTATCAGAAGCTGTTTGAACCCTCAAACGAGGGGCAAGTTGATTCAAACCTTCCAGTACACGAAGCAGTGACAAAATATTATACGTTGGATTATTTTTCTCCATATCACAGGGAAGTTCCCCTTGCAAAATACTGTCCAGAGGTGACCGGTGTGAGGCAGCAACAGCATTTGAAGCGGAAGCAGCTCCAGATTTGGTGGACTTTGATGGAGAGGCAGAATTCACAGCCCCATGGGACTTCTCAACCTGGCTATCAGCCCGTTGATAGTTGATTGTATATATATCACTCCATAGCCTGCTACCATCACTAGTCACAAGATCACTACCATTGTACCTCTCATCCTCCTCTTCATCGGTCACAAGCTGTCGCTGGATAGCCTGATAGATTGTCAAGTTCGGATTAAGTTGCTTGCCACCAGCAGAGAAAACTAACTTAGGAGGGTCACTGGAACCACCAAGAGGACGTCCGTGACGTTCTCTGCCTCCCCTAATTCCTCTTCCGTTAGAAGCAAGTCCAGCCATGGCAGCAGCTGCGAATGACATTGCACCCCTAGAACCAAAAGAGCTCCCACTCCGAAAATCAGTAGAATCTGACCCCCTTACAGTGGCAGCTCTACTACTGGAACCTGAAGCAGGATTATTCTGACTATCACTGGTTGCAGGGGCAGCAGCACCGTCTTCAGCAGAATCACTCAATTTCACATCATGCACTTTATCAGCCATACAAGCAGGAAGAGAATCATCCCTCAGTACCTGCAGAATAAAGAAGAAACAAATTAGGAAAGATGAAAAAAAACAAAAACGACCTCATAACAGTGAACAACAAAATTTCAATAATCTCGTCCTTATACAACACTTCACTTCTCAGGTACCCTCTGTTTGTAGATCAAGGGAACAAAGCATAGCCAAATCAGCTTTTGAGCTATCATAATAGTATCAAAATGAACTAGAAGTTCAAGAATGATATCAAATTAGGTGAATCAGAAAACATGTTAAATGTTCACCACACAAATACATTAAAAAAAATAAATAAATTAAAGAGCATGTTCGTAACTTTTCTAAATGCAAAATAATCATAAATAATAAAAATTCCAAGTTTACATACATCATCCTGGTCATCATCTTCATCATCAGAGATATCATCATCTTCAATTACCAATGCATCATCAATGTCAACAGGAGACATCTCTAAATCTTCATCCTGCAAGAACAGATAAAGGAGGGCAAAAAAATATTTAGTATTGGAAAATTTGGAAGAGCTATGCATCCGAAGTTGCTAGTGATACAAAAGTAAAGAAATTACACAGAACAAACTTTTCTAAAGTCTAATCACACAGTAAATCAAAAGTTACAGGCCAGCCTAAAAAGCAAGGGATCATAGGGGAATGCAGGTTGCTGCTGGCACTATAAAAAAACTCATAAGGGATTTCGGTTCAATTGACATGCATTTATAAAATAAAAAAAAAATCGATGCATAATTAATCAAAGAACACACCTCAGAACTAGATTCTCCAGTGGGTGATTTTATTTGGGCATCTTTATCTGAGGCAGCTCTCCTACGAACAGCATTTCTTGTTTGAGGACCTTTACCTTCCTCTGGTGATGGTTTTAATATAGCTTTGCCCTTCCCCTTTGACGAGCTAGTAGTTTTGTCCTGAGAAGTATCTTTTTTAGAAGTGTCCCCTATATTAACACCTGATCTGGATCTGGATGACTGGCGGCGAGTGCTAGCAGCAGGGGTGGAGGCAGCTGGTGATGAAGCACCAGCTCCTGTAGGTGAAGGTCCTGACTCAGAATTTCCCACAGAAGTGGACGCCTTCTGCCCAGATTCACTTCGTTGAACTCGGGGCCAAAGGAAATCCTCAACAGCTGCTAAACTTGCTAATGGATCAATGAGTACAACAGTATTAGAGTAATCACGAAGAGACTTCTCTCCTGGAGCTCTACATAGACGCAACTTAAATGGTTGAGAAAGTGCACTTAAACCTGATGAAAGCCGTGCACTCCCACCTGATGACCTAGCTGAATGACTTAATACAACTGGAAACCTTTCCAGTGAGGATAAAGCATTTTGAAGCTTTTGGACTAAAACAGTCATAGGAGTATCATTCGCTCCACTGCCACTAGTAGGAAGGGCAATGGAGATAAACAATTTATATCTTTTGAGTGCCTGCTGTCTAAGCTTAGGAAGATTCACCTCTGAAATTTTCTCTTTATTAAAGTAACCACAGGAAAAATAGTTCAGTAAGGCCGCAACAACCCCACTGCCAATGAATTCAAACGTAGAAACACCATCCCCTTTGCTTAGTTCCGCTAGCATCTCAGAAACAATTCCAACTAAGCTCTCCTCTTTGCCAGTTACAAAATCTGCAACATAAGCACTAGCAGTCTTCGATTTTCCTTTCACTTTAGACTTTTGCTCCTCAACACCAGCATTCAGTTTTGCACATAAATTCTTCAGGTGCAAGAGATCATCCGAAATACCAACATCAACAGTCCCAGGATCAGAAGGAAAGAACTTATCCTTAAAAGACTTTGCACAACCACTGACAGTTGTGCGAAGATTAGAACTGGCAGTTGGAATTTCAACAGAGGTAGGAGGCGAACCAACATTAACTGAAACTGAATTCCTCAACTCTTCCAGAGAGTTGGCATCTTGCTGCTGGTTTCCACTTCGTCTCCTTAAACGTCTAGCACGTGCAGATGTTACCAAAGCTGAATCACTATCTTTTTCAGGGGTAGCAGTTTGAGCTGAAATAGAGTTTGATGGAGAAGATATGAGCGAATCCACAGCATGAACTACACCTTCCCTCACAAACATCTTGGAGAATGTCTCAGGGAGTTTTTCCATCAATATCTCTGCAATTTGTAGAGCCGGAACTAATACTTGTGGATCCTTCCAAGCCAAAACACCAGAAAGAAAACTGAGAAGAGAAAAATAACATGGAGTGAGTGCAACCAGAAGACAAACCATGCAGAAGTGCATGTGGTAGGAATACTAACATGAAAACAAAGCAAACTTAAAACAGGCACCTTGATATATTTGTTGTGCTGTTCAGAGATGATATCATTTCTGCAGTGCTGAAAAACATAAGTTTACCAATCACAGAAAGGCATTTGTGACGGACAGGACCATTCACACTTGAACCATGAATCTGCTTAGCAAAAGTACATAATGAATTAATGCTACCGTATTGAACATATTGAGCTAGAAACTAAACAGCGATTAAGCAACTGAAACCTGTATCAACACGGGAAGAAGGTCAATGCCAAATTGCTGTAGAAGCTCAGGCTGATCATTCATGAGTTTTTCTCTTGCTGACACGTCTTGCACATTTCCATTTGTCTCCTCTTGCTTTCCAGAACTGCTCATTGGTGACTTCTTAAAAAGAGGTCCTCTTACAAACAAGTTAGAGCTTGCTGGAAGGGAGATGGTTCCTTGCGGAAGTGGAGGAAGCAGTTCATTTGCAAGGTTGACAATCTCAAATATCTAGTAGGAACAGAACAAAAATCAACAAGTAGTTCCAAAAGTAAAGGCTCCTTATATAGTGTACCACGCAAAACATTAATATGCCATGCTAAGTAACACGGCTATTAGGTCACCGAATCATGCATACAAGTATAAAACCACTATTAGGTCACCAAATCAAAAGATAACACATCACAGCTTTTCTTACAGCTCTCCATAAGAAATGGAAACATAACTTGAGCAAGAATTGGCAGAACACTCATATGGTCATTACTGAATAGCACAACAGGACAGGACATGAAGTTGGCTTACCAACATCAATAGTTCATAAGTAATAACACATCACAAATCACTGTGAATTCAAGTCTGCAATAGCATACACTTTTAATCAGCAGCCAATCCCCGACAGCTTGAGACGAAATCACGTAAAAGATACATGAGATTCAACTAACAGGCTGACAATACAATTAAATTCCAACACGATAACAAATAATCACATACGGAGTATTTTTTTAGTATGGTTATAAACTTCCACTAGATCCAGCCAACTACCCTCAAGCCAAGGAAACAACCCAGCTAGAAGCAGGCATAGGAGCTTTCCAGCTCCGTAAATGGGAAATTTTATTTTTATCTACAAGGACCAATAAACATACCTGCTCTGGAGGCCTGCTAAGAGCAGGGGATACAGACATATTTCCTACAAGTCCAGATCCGGCCAAAATATCTTTGAGTATTCCACTTATACCTAGCAACAGCAATGTCTTGGCTCCCACAGTAGACCCACTTGCACATGTAGCAAGAAGTCGGATCAAACCCTACAGAATAACCAAAATCACATAAAAACCATATTCAAGAGCACAGCTTATACAATTGAAGAATCACAGCACTTACTGTGTAAGTAGACGTGGTCAAGGAGGCCTGGCCCCCACCAGAATTACTGGTTGAAATCAGTGAAGCAGCCTGGGTGACCAGACCATGATTGCAAAGCTCATCAAGCTTATCAGAAGATGAAGCAAAGGCCTCAACAATTCGAGTAAGGCAAACAGAAGCATGCTCTAGAACCTGCAAAATCATAAAAGCAAAGATGGGTACAAAAAAATTAGAAGAAAACCAGAATAGCTTTAATTCCTTTGCATAAAATGCTCAAGAGGTCCAAATTTTATGATACTGCAATCCAACCTTTGCATCATGATACTGAAGGAGATTAGTTAGGTGAGGAACAGCTTCCATTACAAAATCAGCAGCATCCGAAGGGAGCTTCTTGCACATATTTGCAGCAGTAGATAATGCCACTCGCTGAAATCAGATAAAACATACATTATGATAATAAAAATGAACGATCATAGCCACATCTACATCGCATAACAACCAAAAAACATGAAATGAAGGTAAATAAGCTTACCTGAACTCCGGTTGAAAAGAAATCAAGATAAGAAAGCACTGCCATTAGTGCACCAGCTCGCAAACACGCAGTTGGGTGCTCATGAGATATCTTCTTTAATGCTTGCAGAGACTATCCCATTCCAAAAATAATAAAAAATAAATAAATACATAAATAATTCAAAAATCATCCCATAATCACTCATTTATTCATCCAATCATTTATTTTAACACATCACATACATATTCATTGGCATATCCAGTAAGGAACATCTAGATGCTAAGCTTCAAACAAAACAAAGTAAAAATAAAATTAAATTTAAAAAATCTAGGGAAAAAAAATGAAAGAGTTGGGAGAGGAAGCGAAATATGCTCCACTGGCCCCTTGCCTTTACACAGAGGTGCTTTCAGTTCCTTCCTCCATAGACTATCTCTCCGAAAAGGTAAAATCTAAATTCTAAATGCATTGCTTCCTACTTCCATTCAGATCAGATAAAACATGAGCTTTCATTATTGCCAAAATAACTTGATAGACATTTTCTCCAAAACCTAAAATCAATATCCACTAAGTTGGATAGATTGGTCATTATTATTGTCTCATATCTCACTCATGTCGCATTTGTTGCAATGCTGCTGGCAGGTGAGATTGTTGACAGCAGTATGGTTGGACTAATGTCATCTAAAAAGTAGTCTCTATAATCCAAATCAATGTGTGTTTTTAAGAAAAATGAAATGGATTATTGGGTAAACATGAAGCACTACTGAGTACAACCATCCAAGATACGAATTTTACTCATAATAATGCTGCCATAAAGACTAGTTGCAATTTAATATTAAAAGTGTTGCAGTTGGTCCCCAAATCAGAATTCCTGGATCAACCTAGGTTAAAGTTTCCATGTTACGAAATTCATACAAGCTGTAATAAAAACAAGAGTGTAATACCTGCTCAGCCAAGTCCATATATTCAATCGTCAACAGCCTAGCACAGAAACAATTGACCGCGCCATAATGAACAACAGCAGCACAAGAAGAAGGCAATACATCAACCAAGTGAGTAATCGCCCTCGCAGCAAGAAGCATTATATCAGGATTACTCTCGTGATTAAGCAACCCCACGAGCACAGGAACAAACGAATCCACAGAGAATGTACTGAGTGAATCCTCAGTCCCAATTGACAGCAACTCACACAACTGAGTCAATGCTTCAACCTGTTTCCCATCCTCACCATCAGCCCTCAATCCAGAAAGTATCTTCTTGAGCCTTCCACTCTGGTGGGACGAAGAGGAGGCCGAACCCATAGCAGAAGACGGGAGCAAATCATCGAGCCCAGCACCGAGTTTTCGTAACAAACCCTGAAGGGCACTGCTAGCAGAGGTAAGGTTCTGGTGCAAAAGCCCCACACCACCTCCTCCTTCACTATCATCATTGTCATTATCATCATCGTCGTCGTCGAAAACATTCATCCCTAACTCATTCTCCCTCTCTTTCTCAACCTCATGTTCCTTCTCCTTACCCTTATCATTGTCCTTATCAGAACCATGGTTTCTACCTCTTCGGCCGCCACGAGACGACGACTCATCCATGGTTACAGGGGTCACAGGTACGTTAGAGCGAGTTCGAGAGCGAGTTGCCGGAGTAGTGGTGGTAGACGAGGATGAAGAAGAAAGACGAGTGCGTTTCGCGGCGCGAGTTGTGGGACCTACAGACGACGAAGAAGGGGCTGATGAGGACGCCTCCGCCCGCTTCCGGCTGCGAGTTTCCATACAAATCAAAACCCACCCTCTCTAAAGGTTTCAATCAATCGTTCGGCGATCCGACGATGATTTCCACCATTTCCAAACGAATTCTTTCTGATTAAAAATCGAAATGAAAAAACCCTAATCGAATCCGAATCGCTTAATCACCCAACTTTATAAACCCTAGATTCCCTTTTACCTTTCCTCGAAAACAAAGAACGATTCTATGCTTGATTAATCAAATTAGGAATTTGAATCAATCTTAATCCGATCAACCTCGTTCGCCGCGAATTCTGTTCAGAGTGGCGTTTAGAGTGTGCAACAAATTCGATAATTAAAAACAAAAACCTAATCAAAATAAAAAACAAAATTGAATTAAGAAAAGAGAATAGGAATTGGGGAAATGAAAGTAGGGTTTGGGAATTGAAGTATGAAATGAGAATATAAAAAGAAGAGAAGGAGGAAGAAGGTTACTTTAATGGCGGTGAATAAAACGTGAAGGGGTGCGGAAGGATGCGTAAATATCGGGGAGTTTTAAGGGAAGGACTGAGGAGGAGGGGCTGCCAAGTACTCTCTAATAATGCTGCAATTTTTTGGTTTTAATAATCAATGAATGAATACAGCCCTAATTATGTAACTTACACCTAAATGACCTAACAACAATGTGTGTGTTGTTTTCGAATTAAGTTTTTATTCATGATTATACTTGTACAGCTGATTTCAATGTTGATTTGGAATATAATGTTGAATTGAATCGATAAATTTAGGTGCAAATTTTTTACATATAATTAACATTGGGAAAATTTGCAAATTACCACCCACAAAATATGCCTATTTTGATATAACCACCCAAAAAAAAAATATTGTAAAATACCACCCACTAATTTAAAAAAACGCTCAGATTGCCACCCATTTAGAATTTCCGGTGGAATTTCGGTTTGTGGACCCCACTCAACGGCTAATAACAGCTATTTTTTGGTTTTTAACTCATTGCTTCCCCGATTTTTTCCCATTAAACACTTCTCCATAGTAAAACACCATCTTCTTCTTCAAATTTTCCCAAAATTTCACAAAAAACGCTTCCCTTAATTGCAGAAGCATCCACAAGAACTGTAATTGGGGAAAAAATGGGGGATTAGTTAATTAGGGTTCTTGTTGCCCTTGAACTGGAGAAAATTGGGGAATTAGTTGTGTTATTTCAACAATTAGGGTACCTTTATTATTGAATTGGGAAGTGGTGGCGATTTGTGGCTCAATTGCGAGCCAAAGTTGGAACAATGGTGGCGATTTGGTGCGGTGGTGGCGATTTGGTGCGATTGGTGGCAATTTGGTGCACGGATTTGGTGGCGATTTTGTGGTGCTTGGTGGATCAATTGCAGGCTGTAGGTGGAACGGTGGTGGCGATTTGGAACGAAGGAGGCAGTGGCGGAACTAAGGGGGGGCTGGCGAACGGAATGGATGGTTTTTCAGGGGGTTGGGGGGAAGGGGAGGGGTGGTTTTCGGTGTTGCTGGAAAAGGAGATAGGTGATTTGCTAGAAAAGGTGGAGCAATGGTGGTGGTGGTGGTTGGGAAGAAGAAAGAAAGAAGGTAGGAAGAAGAAGAGTGAAAAATCGGGGAGAGAGAGTGAGAAATCCGTAAAATAGAAGAAAAAAAGGAAAAAAATAAAAAAAAAGTGGGGCCCACAGACGGAAATTCCACCGGAAATTCTAAATGGGTGGCAATCTGAGCGTTTATTTAAATTAGTGGGTGGTATTTTACAATATATTTTTTTGGGTGGTTATATCAAAATAGGTATATTTTGGGTGGTTATATCAAAATAGGTATATTTTGTGGGTGGTAATTTGCAAATTTTCCTTAACATTGGGTGATTTGTATATTTCTAATGGTTGTTAGGCTAGTACACTTGTAATTTGACCTTGCACGTCATATATTTATTGTTGCATTTTTCTTTAACATGGTATTCTCACACGGTGGGTTACATCACTTATAGAGGGGACAAATATTAGGTTGTGTCACTTGTGTGACTTGTGTCAGGCCACTGGATCGTACATAGAATAGGCTAAGATAAACTTATGTTGTGTCAAGTTCGTGTTAATTTTTCGGATATGTATAGGGGTCATGCTTGAACGAATCTCCTTTTTATTATAGTTTACATTTTTTTTATTAAATAATGATTAGTTAGTCAATCCAATTGAGGGCTTGTTCACATTTACTTATTTCAGTTTAGTTTAGCTCCAATATCAGCTCAGCTCCTAATTTTCCTCTCTCATAAAATATTCATTTCAGCTTAGTTCAGCACCAATCAGTTTAGTTCAATTCAGTTCAGCTCCAATCAGTTCAATTCAGTAAATGTGAACAGGCTCTGAGTTTGTGCTAATTTTGAACGTCTATATACAATTGTACCAAAATGAGAGTTGTTATTTATTTTTCCAATAGAATAATAGAATGGGTAAAAGAGTTATGTGAAAATGTCAAAACAATTCCTTTCGTTTGTATCAATAACTTTTGCGGTGACATATATACTAATAGTTGGGTCACTAATTATCAATCGTGTGAGATGTTCAATGTTATATTTGATGTAGATGTAGATTTTCATCAATTTAAGAATTTTGATGAGCTTCGATAGTTTATGTAACGTAGGCAACTGATAAATTAACTCATTGCTTACTAAAGTTATTTTTGCTTGTCTCTCGTGTAGATGTATTGCCTCAAAAGTCAAACCTTAGATATGACACTTTTCCAACACCTTGGTTAAAAATCATACGAGGTAAAACATAAATGAAAAATACATTTTCTAAAAGGTTTGTTGTTGCTTATGCACAATACATCTTATTTTACTAATGTATAAGTTGGTAATATGCGTCTACATGATGATAAGTTGGTTGCCATGATTTTCACATGTGAGCAATTACAAACTTGCGAAATAATATTTTGGTGTCTTTTTATTAAGAAAAGTCATCAATTTGTGGAGGCCCTCACTTATCTCCTAACCAAGGGCCATCAAAATACATTAATATGTCATAACCTCTTAACCTTTTTGACCGTTTGGGTTGGATTATTATGAATAAGGGTATGTTCACATTTACTGAACTGAGCTGAGCTGAACTGAACTGATTGGAGCTAAACTGAACTGAACTGAACTGATTGGAGCTTAATTGAACTAATCTGAACTGAACTGAGGTGAAATGAATATTATATGAAAGAGGAAGATTAGTTGCTGATTGAACTGATTAGAGCCGAAATGAACTAAACTGAAATTAAGTAAATGTGAACAGGCCCTAAATCTTACACCTACTCTGTTATTAGTTATACGTAAGCACGAATGCACGATTGCGTAGCTTCAAAACTCAAAACAATTTTATTTGCATGTGTGTAGTAGACTATTAGGATGAGGGATTCAGGTGAGTATGTAGTTATTGAATTTCATACATTACCTTTACAAAAACTAACTGTTGTTCCCAGTGTCAATGTCGATAAAAGTTTTCTATGGCTTTCTATTTAAGTAGGAGCGAACTAGATGGACATATATAATAATAATAATAATAATAATAATAATAATAATAATAATACAAGTATACGCCTTGTTTAGATTGAACACCTTTTTAAAAAAAATAGAGGTTTAACCATTCTAAAAAGCTAATATGGGTGTTGAAAAAATCTTATTGAAAGAGCTTTCTAAGCTCGAGGTTATCTTTTTAAGAAAATCTCATATTAGGAGCCTTTTGAAATTAGTTTATTGAGAAATACATTTAGCTTGTTTTTGGTTATTACATACACTTATCACAACGAATTAATACTTAATAATCTATACTAGTCTATACTCTATACTAGTATTTAAAAACAAAAACCATCAACCCTACAATGTCACATGTACATTTCATTTTTTTTTCTCCAATGCCACATGTCACCTTATTTAATTTTTTTTTTAATATCTTTTCTCATATGAAAAAAAAAACTTTAATTCAATACATATATGAATGATTGAATGTTGTTTGGTTCACTTTCCTCCAGTTTAATTTCTACTACAATTACATTCAATTTACATCTCTTCTTCTCCTCTATAAACTATTCATTTTCCAATATAAATATATTAAAAAATAATTATTTATATATTATACCTATAAATAAGTGAATCGCTAAATGCACGGGCCAGAAGGCTAGTTATATACTAAACACTCTTATATAAACCAGCTAGTCAAACAAGTTGATACAACTAGCTATATTAATCAATTACCATTGTAAGCACTTGAAATTTATATAAGTGCCACATCGAATATACACGGGTTAAAAGTAAAATTATTTACTTAATGGTTTGACTATTAATTTAAATTATTTAATTTGGGTGAAATATATTAATATAGCACATTTTATTTTATTAAATTATAAAAACCCAACGTATAGGCTAGACCATCATAAATTGGTTATATTGTCAAGCCCAATTTATAATGTACACTAAACCCTAACCCTAAGAGTGTTGCCTCGATCTATAAATAGGACTCTTTCTAACTCATTTGGGGAGAAGAGAGGAAACAAGGAGACTACAATAGAAAACATAAAAAACCTTAGCTCTCATAATTCCAAACCTCTCCAAAGAAAACCTCTAAAAACCTACCGGAAGAGCAACAAGCATTCGACGTGTGTTCTACTCTAGAAGATCATTCGTGGAAGAGATTAAGCCTCGACGACCCTGAACACGAAGGAAATAAGAACTATGAAACATCAAGTAGTGCATTGCAAGTCACCAGTTTAACCTCTACATCAAATAGTCATGATCGAGATCAAGCCTCGTTGTCCCTCAATCAAGAATTCAAGTCAAAGGTCTGCATCAACAACTAGTCAAAGGTATACATCAACATAAGTCAAAGTTTTGCATCAAAACTTCGATCGAGATCAAGCATCGACAACCCTCGTTCGAAAATCAAGTCAATCCGAAAATTACGTCAAAGTCAAAGTGGAGATTGAATTAGAGGAGCAAATTAGAGACTTTACCCAAAATTATCAAATTAATAAAATTAAAATTTTGTTGCATTTGTTTTGAATCTATATTTTGCAGATTTTAAATTTGTGCAGCGTTTACAACCATATATTCACCAAATAGGACTATATTTTCTCCTTTTAAGCACGTTATCTTCAACATTAGTCCACCATGTGTCACCTTCAAACATTATGTGAAATGTTTCCTCATTGAACATAACGATTACATGTCGTCATATTGATGCCATATTACAAAACATATATGACTTGGAATTACCCGATTTATATACTGATTTTTGTATCACTGAAGAGTTTAAACTACAAGTTAGTAGCTAGTTGATTAAGTATATCTTGTACATTGATTGTGTAGCAAAATTAATATATATTTTTTTTGTAATGAAAGAAAAAAGAGCACAATTACATTATTGGCTACACTAGCCATTACAATTATTTTGATCCTAAATTTCTAGTGGGCCTAGCAGACTTTTCGGGTCAGGTAAAAAAAGTGAGATATATTTGTCCAATGCCTGTTCATAAAAAATATTTGGATCGAGCCAAACGCAACCTGTCACTAACCCAAAATCAGCCCAGATCAGACCGATGGACAAGTTCTTGTTAATCATATTTGTTTTGTAGTGTATATATTTTTGCTCGAACTTACATTGAATAGTCGAGGAAAACACAACCCTTCACCAAAAATAGACAATCAAAGAAACATCAACATGGTAGATTTACCTGGCCTACAAAATCATGATCTTATTTTAGGTTTCTAATTTGTCCTAATCAAATCGATTAAAAACTTTCTAATTAGAGATAGGGCCTTTTTTTTTTTTTTTTTTTTTTTTTTGAGGGGGGAAGAGATGGTGGGCCCTTAGCCCCCAGCAAAAAAACCATGAAATGAACAAGCACGTTTCAGCATCTGCCTTTCTCAATTTCATGAACCGCTCCATTTTCCGACCTCCTAAACTGCCGTATTAATGCCGTTTTTTTACATCTCCATTAATTTCTTTCTATCTCTTTCTCTCTCCTCTGTTAAACGTTGATCATCTTCCTTAGAAAAAGCAAGCGTTTCACCAAAAAAAAGTTGGTAATATTGCCAATTTAGAAAGTAATCAAATTTCATTAAAGAATCATTATACTTGTGCTTGGTAATTACATTTCACGTTGTTAAGAGAGAGAAAGAGGAAACAACTTTTTGGGTGTCATCTATTCTTCTAATCTTGCCTATTGAGTAACGGATTTGATTCGAAAGTTTTTCTTCTGATTTGGGTTTCTGCTGATTTTTTCTGGGTTTTGTTTGTTTTTCACAAATACGGAGAAAATTCATAGAGACTAGGGAAGAAGAAGATGGGTTTGTGGAGTCCGATACTTCGGATTTTTAGTGTGATTTTTGGGTTTGTCGGATTTGGTTTAGGGATTACGATTGGTCTTACTGTTGGGTATTATCTCTTCATTTACTTTCAGCCTACCGATGTCAAGGTAATTTCCTTTGATTTTTTGTTTTTTGAATTTCTGGGTTTAATATATGATGAAATTGTTACTGTAATGTTTATTTGATGCAACAGTAGATTGTAATGTGTTATGGAACATGTGGGGTTTTTCGATTTTGTCTTATTTATTGTTTTGAGGTATCATGCAGAGTTCTGATATTGATTATGGACCATAATATTAGGTTGTCATTATCAAAGGAATCCATATTTTAAGGTCTATGTATGTCCATTTTTTCTTAATTTTGGGTGTCAATGCCAACTAGTGATTGATGTTGATGTTTTTTTTGAAGAATATTGCACATTTGTATGAGGTCCTTGTGATTATAATTTTGGATTGAGAATTGACAAATGGGTGGCAGGAGGAGGGTTTATTGTTTGAGTCCTTTGAGAGGACTAGCTGAGTTGCTGGACACAATTACGGTTATTCGGACCTCAATTTGTGCTGGTTCTTACAAGGCACCTTCTGTTGGATTGGGTGGGTTAATATAAGGCTTTTCGGGTTGGTGAAGGACAATGCCCCTTGATCACTTATGATGAGACTTTGTCATGTTGTGCTTTGTATATTGAGGAGTTGGCATTTTAAACCAATTATCCTTTTGGTTTCCATGGGTTAGAATTTAGGAGTAGGTTTATGTCCACTTGGAACCCAAATTGGCTTAATGTTGTGGCTCTTGCTACTCTCATGAATGTAGTAAAATGTGTTCTATCTTAAATTTCTAAGTATAGATTTCCATTTGCTGAGGAAAGATTCACTTTGTTGGCTATATGTTCCCTTTACTTGAGGTTAATTAGTTGCTGATAGGGTGAGAAGTATTTCTATGGGGCATGAGCTTCTTGCTGTTACTTTGCTGGGTACTTGGTATGGTAGAAATGGATGGAGGGTTCTTTGCTGACCACCAAAGTTAAATTCTTTGGTTCATGCAATCAACCTCATACTAGTTTATTAAGGTTTTGATGTTGTTGTCACTGTTGGGTATGATTTTTTAACACAAGGATATCTTGTTGCACGGGAAGGTACGGTAATACGGACACGTAGTCACTAATATTAATTTTTCTACCACTATTGGAAATGGAGTGTTTGGGATTTTGAAATTTAATTTTCAATTTACGAGATTATTATGGTAATATATTTTTGGCCTTGATAATTCCATGACCCATAATGTTTACTTTGAACTGGGATAATTTTTTTGGGTCTACAACCTTACACTTACAGTTCTATAATGTCAAGTGATAACCCACCAATCACAGCGACTAGATATCCAGAGGATGTGGGGAGGGTAAGTAAATTTTACCCCAAAGTGTGTCTTGTGGAATTAACTTAGACCAAGTTATAGATTTTGAATTAGGATATATATTTGTTTGTAATTTAATACTTGTAAGCTTCTATACATGCATTTCATCGAAGATTTGTAGGAGTGCCTTTTGCTGTAGATTGGTGATGTTAAGTACATCTGGATTTAAGTAGTTGGTGCTTTGATGTTTTGCCAAAAAATTCTCTTGATAGGCTACTGGAAAAATAGCTATTAATGTTTGATAGAAATAAGGAGGGAGGCAAATTTTTCAATTTGCTTCTCTCATACACTACTAAAACAATTTCTGGAGACAGCTGAGTGACATCAAAGATGACTTAGCTTGGATATTAGTATTTTTGCAATTTGTCTGGATCTGACTCCGCACTATTTACTGAATGATCAACAGTTTTACCCTTGGATGGGAGCCTCTTTAGGTAGCAGTCAAACTACTGATATAATCTTGTACATCTCATGAGTTGGTACTGACCTGATATGCGCTACTGGTCTGTTTATTAGTATTTTCTTTCTGATGATTAGTTATGCACTTTAATGTGACTCCATACATGACTTGGAGTGTTCTATACTGTTAAAGATTGCAAGTGAATGATTTGTTGGTGGGCTAAAAGTTAATGTTTGGTATCTTCTTTTGTATTTTATTTCCATTTGCAATTGGCATTTGTAATTATCCACGTACTTTTTTATGATGCTGATGTCTTCTCGGAAGGAAGAAGTAGGCAGTGTTGATGGATGGACAGCTGAGTAGCTGACTATTCTTGTGCTGTGAAATGTTGATACTTGTGTCTTAGTTATATGTTGGCATCCTCTCCTCCTGTAGACCTGTAATGATATTTTGATTTTGATAGGATCCCGATATCCGTCCACTGGCTGAGCAAGAATCTGATAAACTTCAGCAATTACTTCCTGAAATACCTCATTGGGTGAAAAACCCTGATTATGAGCGTGTATGTATTTCGTATTTTTGGCCCTCTTTGTTGTCATTGATTGTTACTGAATAGTTTATGGTTCTGACTTTTGCTTGTGTTTTTCCTTTTCTTTTATGAAAGATGGACTGGCTGAACAAGTTTATTGCCCAGATGTGGCCCTATCTGGACAAGGTATATGCCTATTTATTTCAATATATTTACTCCCTTTATTTCGTTGTTGCTCTTTATGTTGGCTAATAGAGGGTTACTACTGTACACAGGCAATATGCAAAACTGCAAAGGATATTGCAACACCTATCATAGCTGAGCAAATTCCAAAATACAAAATTGATAATGTCGAATTCGAGAAGCTGACTTTAGGGTCCCTTCCACCAACCTTCCAAGGTCAGTTTTACTCTTTACTTTGAATGAGTTGATGCAAGAGAATAGATCTTAGAAGCTTAAAAATTGTCTTAAAAGCTGAGTAAAGAAGTTTATGGTTATTAACGCTAAGATATCAGAAATACCACTACTAAGGGTTTGGTTGAGCTTAATAAAATGTCTCAAAAGCTGAGTATAAAAATTTATGGTTATAATGCTATGTGAGTTTTAACTTTTATCTTTTTTTGTTCATCCCTTGTTTTAGATTTTTGCACTTAAATATTAGAAAAATTTGGTTTGCTTGTGGCTGTTGAGGGTTATGGGAGGTCACAAATAAGGTTGTTTATTTATTTATTTTATTTTTTATTTTTATGTAATGGATGATGGGTAAAAGTGAGTGCTAATTGATTTGTAATTACCCACAAATTAACAATAATGAAGCCAATTAAGCAAGCAACTGAGTGATTTTACTCGGGGAAACCCAAGAACTTGGAGAAATCAGAGGATAACCCACCAATCCACTATGGAGTATGGAGTAAGAATTTGATGATGAATGATGAAGAATACAAACTTTCCGGACATCATGGAAGCTTCCACCTCAATACCCACTCTCTTCCACTTAATCTCTAAGTTTTTTTTGTAGTTGGATAAAGGTCTTCCTTTCTACTGGATAAGGTTTAATAAAATGTTTTTTAAGCTCCACTTTTGGGTTCTCCTATGATGTCTTATCTGTGTATAGTTTGTCATATCCTATATATTTTACATAGTTTTATCATTTGTTTAAGGTGAGTGAAAGTTCTTTGTTGGTATTGTGATATTTGACAAAATGATTAAATAAGATGAACTTGAATGGATGTGGTTTATTTGTTAGCGTTACCAGGGGCCAGGGCTATGCTTGTGACTTGTGATAACATATATTAGCCAGGGGTTTTATGCTTATGAGCTATGCCTCTTCACTTGACTATTATAGTAATGGTGTAGCTTAATGGTTATGTGAAGTACATGGGTTATTAGTGTCACTTTTTTTTTTTTTCTTTCTACGTGACAAGTTATGAGCTCTTCTATGTTTACTTGCTCTTATGATGTTAATCTGCCTTGTAATAATATGCGAGATATGCTGAGGGACTAAATTTCATGATTATTTAGTGCCGTCCTTCTATTATAAGTGTACAAAGCTGAAAGTTTTTAGCACAGCTTTATTTTTCCCCCCCCCTTTTTTTCATTTTAGATAGTAGTGGGGGTGGAAAAGTGGTCTTGACTTAGAAAATATGCATAAAGAATTTTTGTGTCAAGTTTGTCATTGTAGTGTATTCTTTTATTACTATGGTTTCTGTGATTGATTATGTCAGTTAGACGATATTCTAAGATAATTATGGACTTTTGTGCCAGCCTGATATTCAGGTTTCTGTTATCTTCACTCACTTATCCAATAATGATATTCATTGATTTACTTGATTAGAAATGAGTAAAATTTGTGTACTTGTTATCTTGGTGGGTCCCTAGTAGCCTGTAATAAAGTTGCAGCTGTATTTTAAAATCTCCCTCTAACTGAAACTCAAACAATAAATAAAGATTTTTTTTAATAATTGCATATGCTGTTTGATGATAAGTTGGCACCAGAAGCTTTATGTATGTATATAGTCTGTTTTAACTCTGTAGTTTGGTATTCATCCTTCCTCTACTGTAGGTATGAAAGTCTATGTGACAGATGAGAAGGAGTTGATTATGGAACCATCGCTGAAGTGGGCAGGAAATCCTAACATCATTGTTGGTATAAAAGCATTTGGCTTGAAGGCAACAGCTCAGGTACTTGGTTTATTGTGAAACTGGCAAAGGTGCATTTTAGTATAGTGTATGAGATGATCAGAGCAGAGATTTATTGAATTTCATTGCTACTTTGTTAGTGAGTTAATTTATTTGGATTTATTTCAGGTGTTAGATCTTCAAGTATTTGCTTCTCCTCGTATTACTTTCAAGCCCCTGGTACCAAGTTTCCCATGTTTTGCCAACATATATGTTTCTCTTATGGAGAAGGTATGCGATATTTTGAGATTTGTTAGTTTTATTTATCTTGTTTTCTTTTTACTCATTTTTTTTTTCTAATGTATATAATTAGTTGGGGGTGGGGGCGTAATACAATTTCAACGTTGGAATTAGCTGTTTTTGTTGGAAAAAGTGATTAAACAATAATACGATTTCAACGTTGGAAAAAATGATTATTGGTGGAAGTGATTAATACAATTTCAATGTTGGAAAAAGTGATTATTGTTGTTTTTGTTGGTTTTTTCCCCTCTAATATCAGAAGTCCTGCTTCTGAAGAAGTTGTTTTCATCTTAAACAATAATGGAGTATATTAAGATTGGAAAACACAAATTTTCTAAAGTAATATCAATAATAGTTACTTAGCTATGGATTCTCTTCATCTTATCGTATTAGAACTCCCTTCTTATTGTCATTATGAGGGTGTGTGCAGTTTGGGTTGCATCTTGTTGAAGGGGTGCCGATTAAAATTTCCTTAGTTGCTCTTTGGTCATTGTTATCTTATACATTTTTTTTTTGTAATTGCTAATTTTAAGCTTTCTTATTATTTGTTTTAAATATTTGTGCAAGTGTGGAAAACATAGAAATGACTCATGTATTATCTTGCAGCCGCATGTTGACTTTGGACTGAAGGTTCTGGGAGCTGATCTTATGTCAATTCCAGGTCTGTACAGGTTTGTTCAGGTACGTTGTCCTTCATTTTTCACCCTTTTGTTTATTTTGTGCATTCTATGAGCATGTTTGGGTCTTTAAATAAAATTGAGCAAGCTGTCTCAATTAAATCCTATATAACCATAGGAAAGTTCCTGTCATGCAGCCCTTCAGCTGATCTATCATATTAGCGGTATGATATTTGAATATGTCTGGACTGATCTTTTTAAAGTCCCCTTCTTTGCACTTTGATCCTGTCATGGAATTATAGGAGGGAAATGTAAGATAATGTTGGTGTATATGATTGCTACTGTAGGCTTTATAGCCATGAATAGCTTTAATTTTTTAAGACACTGCAATGTATATTTCTTCATATACTTTTTTTATTATTGCATTCTTTTAAGGACATACTTTAATCTTTGTAAGGATATACGTTTTTTGTGATGCTTCCCTAGCTGTATATCTTTGTGTTGCCATATGACCATCTTTGAGGGAGTAGGCTGATGGCAGATGGTATTTTTGTAATTTAGAGTACTGTCATCCTCTTCCATCTCCGTCTTTTATGTTTCCTTGTAGAAGTCCTTCATAATTCTTTCCATTTCTTGTTTAAGCAGGCTTAAAAAATATTAATTTAGAGCATGTAAAGCACATGGATTATGTTTCCTTGTAGAAGTCCTTCATAATTCTTTCCATTTCTTGTTTAAGCAGGCTTAAAAAATTTTAATTTAGAGCGTGTAAAGCACATGGATTTTGTCTGCCGACAAAATGAGTTTGCCATGATGATATATAGACACAGCATTGCGTTTTGTGCACAAAATTACTTGTTTAATTTTTAAAAGTGCTTAGTGCTACAGATTTTTTCTTCTAAAGATTTAGAGCTACAATGTAGAATAGCTAAATCTTTTGGTGCTCCATCAATTTATTTTCAATTCTTGTGTTGAACTTTGGATATCAATTTAGTCCTTTGCTGATTTTAGATATAGTACTTTGGGTCCTACTTTTTCATTGTTATTCTCATAAACACCATTATAAATGCAATATTTCTGGCTGTAAGAAAGTTTTAGTGCATTTTAGTTTCGATCGTTTTTGTATTCCAGATCAACATATGAACCTGTTTCAGTTTTGTTTCTCTTGCTTCAGGAGCAAATTAAAGATCAAGTGGCTAATATGTATCTTTGGCCTCGTACACTTGAAGTACCTATTCTGGATCTTGCAAAGTATGCTCTTATACGTGACACCTATTATTCTATTGTATTTTGACATGTCTATGCCATTGTTGCCATTGACCTCTGTTATGTATGTGCTGCAAACTTTTCAGAGCTCTGAGGAAGCCTGTAGGAATTTTACATGTAAAGGTTGTAAGAGCAATGAAGCTGAAAAAGAAAGATCTCCTGGGTGCATCAGATCCATATGTAAAACTGAAGCTCACCGATGATAAAACACCATCAAAAAAAACCACAGTGAAGCACAAGAACTTGAATCCTGAATGGAATGAAGAGTTTAATTTGACAGTCAGAGATCCACAGACCCAGACTTTAGAAATTAATGTGTATGATTGGGAGCAGGTATTCCTGGGCTGTTTGGTATACTTATATGGTTGTATGTCTATCTCTGTGCTGATAATTTCTGAAGTTATTTCCTGTTCATATTAGGTTGGCAAACATGAGAAAATGGGTATCAATGCTGTTCCTTTGAAAGACCTTACTCCTGATGAGCCAAAGGAGTTCACTCTTGATCTCCTTAAAAAGATTGACCCAAATGATCCTCAAAACGAGAAGTCACGGGGACAGATTGTGTTAGAATTGACATTTAAAGCTTTTAAAGAGGAGGATCTTGGAAAAGATTTTGAAGATTCAGTGCAACAAGCACCTGCAGGAACACCCGCTGGTGGTGGTGTACTTGTTGTGAATCTACAGGAGGCTCAAGATTTGGAAGGAAAGCACCATACAAACCCGTATGCACGTGTCATTTTCAGAGGAGAGGAGAGAAAGACCAAGGTAGTATATTGTAGTTAGATTTTTTATTTTTATTTTAAGGTGATGAGTTATTTAATACTTTGTATTCTTATGGACTTTATTCTACAAAAATATCACTGACTCTTTTAATCAATTTAAGTTTGAAATTTTGTCTGGGGTGGGGGTGGGGTGGGGTGGGGGGAAGGGTTGCATCCATGTTGACTGCTCCGTTGCTCTCATTATGTGATTTTTTATAGAGGCACTGCGACAATGGTGTGGTATGTTATGGATTCATTTGACGGGTAGTTTACTAGTTTGTCATGATATATGACAAACTGTCAATTTTCCTTGTATTTCTGGCCTCATGATCATGTTTGTCTCAAATATGTGTAGAATGGCCAAGGTCGTATATGCACTTTTACTGATGAGTATTTTAGGTCCTCATGGAATAGGTACAATCTTCTTTGAAGACGTATAATAACCTGACTGACTATGCTATTGCAGACTATCAAGAAGAATAGAGATCCAAGATGGGATGAGCAGTTTCAGTTTGTTCTAGAAGAACCTCCAACAAATGATAAGCTGCATATTGAAGTTTATAGTACCTCGGCAAGAAGTTTACTGCATCAAAAGGTAATTATTTTTTAGTCCTATTTCTTTAACTATTAGGCTCTTATCTTAATTTACTCCATCCATCTAAAATTAATATTTACACACAAATGCAAACTATATTTAGGATGCTTGGGAAAATTGATCACCTTTTTTTAAAATAGTAATGACTTAATGAATTGGATTTACTAATATGCCATTATGGTCTCAAAGAGACAGTAAATGATATGGAGAGACTCAAGATAGCGCAACTAAGTGTTTGTTCAGGCAGTTTTGATTTGTTTGCATTGCCTGGTTATGAATTATGATATGAACAAAATTCCATTGTTTTTCAGGAATCTTTGGGATACATTGATATCAATCTCAGTGACGTCGTCAGCAACAAGCGGATAAACGAAAAGTATAACCTGATAGACTCGAAGAATGGCCTCATCTTGGTCGAGCTCATTTGGAGAGCTGCCCCTCCAAAGTCGTAAACTCCTTTTCTTTTTTATATACAGAGTAGAAAAGATGCTGCTGATTTTTTTTACATTACTACTGAAAGGTGATTTGTTTCTGTAAATGTTGAACATAATGGTAGTTCTGTTACTATGAATAGCAGAATAGTTTCTTTATTTGGTAAATGATTGTTTTTATTTGCAAGACTAGTTTACACTTCGTTACTTGTGAACTGTGATGTCTGTATCATATGGACTAATGTGGGTTGGACTTGGGTCCAACAAGCCGATGTCAAGTGTCTTTTTTACCCACTTAATACAACTCTTATTAAACTACTACATAAATAAAAAAAAATTCTAAGCTTTAGGATAACATATAAAGAAGGGGAAATATAAAATCAAATCCAATAAATCTTACTGTATTAATCTGTCATTTAAAAAAAAAAAAAAAACAGTTTATTTCTGTCATTTAAAAAATAAAAACAGTTAATTTAATTCTATTTAGCCAATTTCTAATGCAAACATACTCGCATAATTTTCAAAGCATTAACAACCTTGGAGTTTTGCTCACTCAAGGTGGTTCATGCATAAACGATAAACATTGACATTCTATAGGATCTATAGACTATCTTCGGTCCAAATTACTCGTAATTTTGGGTATTATTTGTGAGATATAAAATATTCCAAAGTTGCGAGTAATTTGGATCGGAGGTAGGATTTTAAGCATGGGTTCCCTATGTACAAACACTTAATCAAAGCTAATATACTATCAATTACTTTAATAAAACAAATACAACGCTTGTAAATAACATTTATAACACTTTGTAACCTCTAAAAGTTGAACTATTTATGATATCCTTATCTTTTAATTCTCATAAAACTAACTATTTTCAACCTCATTATCTAATTAGAGAGTTAAAGATCCATATTATCATCCGAGTTTTTTGAAATTTCATACACGCATCACCCGCAAATTTATTAAAATAAATAAAGTTTGATTATTTTAAGCATTATCCAAAGTGTAATAAGAGAGCCAACAATGAGAACTATTTCTCTCGCTCTGGAGTTAGGGTTCCCTAGTTCGGAGGTCAGAGTTGCTCTCTTGCGCGTTCAAGCGGTCTCTCCTTCTCCGGTAGGGGGGTCTCCGTGGTGCTCTAATCAGGATGGCAGGAGAACTTCTTGAGAATTGGTCAAAATTGAGTATTACAGATGAAGAGAATGAAATTGCAGAATTAGGTGACTTGAATGTTGATGAACTTAGCAATAAACTAGCCCTATCCTTGGTGGGGAAATTACTGACTATTAGATCGTATAATTTCGAAGCATTACAAAGAACCCTAAAGCAGACCTGGTCCTTGTCTCGAGGTGTTTTATTCCGTAAAATTGAGAACAATTTGTTTGTGATATAATTATTCCATTGGCATGATAAGGAGAAAGTTCTCGATGGTGCTCCATGGAATTTTGACAATCAATTGCTATTACTTAAAGAAATTGAGGGGGATGAACAACCGGAGAACATTGACCTTAAATTTTGTCCGTTTTGGATCAGACTGTACAATCTCCCTTTCGATAGCAGGTCCGATGATGATGTGAGAAAGATTATCGAAAAGATTGGGGTTGTATTGGAGGTGGAGAATGATGAATTGGGGTGGGACAAATCAAGAAGGGCTCGTGTGTTGATTGATACAACGAGACCTATTCGCATAATCCAGAAAATTCGCAATAAAAAAGGTGCTGTAACTTCGGTGCAATTTAAGTATGAGAGGTTGTCTACCTTCTGTTTTCTGTGTGGTATTCTAGGCCACAGAGAAAAGGACTGTCCTAATGCTGATGAAGATACTGATGTTGAGGAGAAGCAATGGGGGCTATGGTTAAGGGCGTCGCCTCGAAAGGGGCATGAGAAGTTAAAGGAGGAGGTTGATAAATTGCGACAGAAATCACAATCTCTTGTGTTTACTCATAAGCCTGAAACACGAAAAGTGGAGGGGAATGTAACAACTGCTTGCATACCTCTCTTCTCACCTCATATGGATAAATCTCCGAAAGAAAGAGCTGCTACATTGCAATGTGTTACTGACCCCTTAAGTAACAAATCTGTGCTGCGCACTAGAAGTGTGAGAGAGGGTATGTTAGGGGTTGAGAATGTGGTTGTTCCGACGGTTGTGAAGGGGGTGAGAGATACTATAGAGTTAGATATTGGGGCTAGTAATAATATAAGAGAGGAGTATGAGAAGGAGGATAATGATACGGATACAGGGGTGTTGCAGGGGATGGGGGCAGAGGAGTCGGGAATGAGGGAAAATGCTACTGGGACGATTACAAAAAGCACAAAAAAATGGAAAAAATTAGTGAGAATGGATGAGGGGTAAGGAGAAGGGAATAGGGGGGCGGTCTTATGTAATGTGGGCAATGAGGGAGCAAAAAATAAGAAGAGGGGAATGGCAGAGGGGAGTGATGTAGGGGACATTGTAAAAAGACGAAAGGTGGTGCCTTGAATTACACTGGGGACAGTAATATCCAAGTAGAGGGTGATGGTAAAGACCATACCCTCGAAGGCCAATGAAAATTTTAAGCTGGAACGTTCAAGGGGTTGGCAACCCTTGGACGGAAAGAACTCTCCGTGACCTATGTTGGAGAGAGAGGCCAAATGTGGTTTTTTTAATGGAAACGATGATTGATAGTGTCGTGTTGGAAAGGATACAGAGAAGGTGTGGGTATGAGAATGGGATATGTGTTAGTAGAAATGGGAACTCAGGGGGTATGGGGTTTTGGTGGCATGAGGTGAATGTTAATGTTATTTCATATTCGGTGCATCATTTTGCGGCGGATATTTGTGATAGTTTGGGTGTACCGAAATGGAGAGCAATTGGATTTTATGGGTGGCCTGAGACGGAAAATAAGTACAAGACATGGGACCTAATGAGAAATCTGAAGAGCGAGTGCAATCCTCCTTGTGTTATGTTTGGAGATTTCAACGAGATTGTGAGTATGACAGAGAAGAGTGGTGGGGCTATGAGGCGTGAGTACTTGATGGATGCATTTCGGGAAGCCATAGATGATTGTGGCTTACGTGACTTGGGTTTTACTGGGAGTATGTTTACGTGGCAAAGAGGGAGAACGGAGGATACTGTCATAAGGGAAAGGCTGGATAGGTTTCTTGGTGATGTCCCTTGGTGTGAGTTATGGCCGAATGTTAAAGTCCAACATATTGCTCGAATGGACTCTGATCATGCTCCGATCCTTCTTAGTACAATTAATTATTATGAACGTGGCAGGAGAAAGAAGTTGTATCGGTTTGAAGCTATGTGGCTATCAAAGCCGAATTGCAATGAGGTTATTAAGAAGGCATGGGGGGAGGGGGCTGGAAACGCTCCACACAACAGAATTTCTTTGTGCTCAAATGCTCTGACAAAGTGGGCTGCCAAATCTTTTGGTGATATGAAGAAAAAAATCAGAGCTCTTGAAATTGAACTCCAAGAAGCGCAGGGGGGTCATATGGATGCTGCAACTTTGCAAAGGTGTGAGAAAATTTCAGGGGCGATTAATGAGCTTCGTTGTCATGAGGAGACTTATTGGTATGCACGGGCTCGTGCAAATGAATTGAAAGATGGGGATAAAAATATGGCATATTTTCATAGGAAGGCAAGTCAGAGAAGGTAAAAAAACCGAATTGATGGTTTGTTCAATTCGGCAGGGGAGTGGGTTGATGAGGAAAAACAATTGCAAAATGTGGTGGCCGAATATTTTTCGAACCTATTCCAGTCCGATAATCCTGTTGATATTGAAGCAGCATTGGAAGGGATAGATACCATGGTGACGAGTGAAATGAATCAACAGCTAATAGAAGAACCGAGCTCTGAGGAGATTAAATTGGCTCTTTTTTCAGATGCACCCGAATAAGGCTCCTGGTATAGACGGTATGCATGCTTTATTTTTTCAGAAATTTTGGCATATTGTTGGCCCTGATATTATTGCAATGGTGAAAAATTGGTGGAGGGGTTTGATTGATATTACTGAAATTAATAGGACATGTATTGTTTTAATTCCCAAATGTGATGAACCTAAGTACATGTCGGAGTTCCGCCCAATTAGTTGCTGCAATGTCATATACAAAATAATATCAAAGACTTTGGCGAATAAACTGAAGCCGTTCCTCAATGATATTATTTCTGTAAATCAAAGTGCTTTTATTCCGGGTCGTTTGATTACTGATAATGCTCTTATTGCTTTTGAGATTTTTCACTCGATGAAAAGAAGGGGTGAAGGGAGAGATGGTACGGTGGCTCTTAAACTTGATATGAGCAAGGCCTATGATCGTGTTGAATGGTGTTTTTTGGAGAGAGTTATGCATAAGATGGGTTTCTGTAATGATTGGATTTGCAGGGTGATGGCCTGTCTTTCAAGTGTCTCCTTTTCGTTCAAGGTTAATGGGGAAATCTCGGGTTCCGTTGTCCCTTCGCGAGGACTTCGGCAAGGGGATCCAATCTCTCCATATTTATTTCTTCTGTGTGCTGATGCTTTTTCTGGCCTTATTTCAAAAGCAGCTCGGGAGAAGAAAATTAGTGGGGCAAGAGTTTGTCATTATGCTCCTAGATGTCTCACCTATTTTTTGCCGATGATAGTATTCTTTTTGCAAAAGCTACTCTGCAGGAATGTTCGAAAATAGCTGAAATTATCAGTTCATACGAAAGAGCATCTGGTCAGAAAGTTAATTTTGAGTAAGACGGAGGTCGCTTTTAGCAAGTACGTCAATGGTGAAAGGAGGAAAGATATCATAGAAACCTTGGGGGTTTGTGAAGTTGAGAGACATGAGAAATATTTGGGTTTGCCGACAATGATTGGTAAATAAAAAAAAGCCATCTTTGCTTGTTTGAAGGAGAGAATATGGAAGAAAGTGAACGGGTGGAAGGAACAATTACTTTCTAAGCCGGGTAAGGAAGTTTTAATCAAAGCCGTCGCTCAAGCCATTCCAACATATATGATGAGTGTTTTTAGGATTCCGGATGGGTTGATCGATGAAGTTCACACCTTATTGTGCCGATTTTGGTGGGGCTCAAGGGAGAATGAAAGGAAATTGCATTGGCAAAGCTGGGAGAAGTTATGCATTCCAAAGGCAAAAGGGGGAATGGGGTTTCGAGATCTAAAATGCTTCAACCAAGCGCTTCTTGCTAAGCAAAACTGGCGGCTGC